CAAGTGAGATCCCAGAATGGTCTCATTACCCTTGATCTAGTCCCCAGTTGGGAAGCTTGGCAGTTTATGTCGCGTGGTCCCCTGCGGCCTATGCGCCAAGTTAATACCCGTTAATTACACTACATAGACAGTGTGGAAGTGTACCTAGAAGAAACTCAAGAATTCTACCTGCAATTAAGGTCGTATCGCTTAGGCCCCTCCTTAAAGCGGTAGGAATGCTTGTGATTTTGTTTTCGATGTTTGCGTCTCCATCCACAGCTCAGGTAGCTCCAGTGACGTAGCTCGCCTCTGAACTCGAAAGAGGGGACGACATTGACTTTGACTGCCTCTGCCGATTTCCAAGCCGATGAACTGGCCAGCACATCAGGGGCTGTGCCTCCACAGCCATGCACTTGATTTGAACGTAGCATTGGTGTAACGATTGGCCCGCTACAATTGGTTGAAACATACATTTTCTCCAGAAAGGGATGGTGGAGACGATCATCCTTGCAGTGCCACAATATTGACTCGAATGCCCCAGCCTGCTGCCTCGATTGCCGGGCTCTTGACGAGCCCGATGCCTGCATGTTTGCTGTCGCTGTAGATGCCGCCACTATGGAAAGCGCGTTGCCCGTATATGCTGAGCATATGAACGAGACTGCCGGCCTCTGCTATGATACCGTGCTTGAGGGTCTCGCTCAGCACGTTAAAGGTGCCCCTGATGTTGGAGCTTATGACGAAGTCGTGCTGCTAATCGCTTACCTCCCAAGCTTCCTTATGGCACTGACTGCGTCCAGTCGTCCCGGCGAGGTTGACGCATCCGTCGGATTTCCCAAATTGATTCCTATCTGCATATTGACAACCTTCACGACCGTGAGGTCTGTATTCCTGCCTTCTGGATAAGCAGGATAGCCTTCTTGATCCCATGATGTGTGATTCGAAAGGATCTGATCCTTGCCGTCGCTGGCGTGCAAAGTACGACTCTCGCACCACATGGAAGTAGAACAATGGCAGTGACGGTCCATGCGTCATCCGTATCCCGTAGACATTAACTGTCATGTCAGAGACAGTGAGCTGATGCAGTGAGAGTCGCATATCAGTGATCGCAGCGTAGCATAAGACGATACTGAGCAGTCTCATATCTGATGCAGTAGGAAGACTGATTATTAATTTGAACGTGCCAAAGGTTAACGCATACGTCAAACATCGTAGGTGCGGTAGGCGTTGTCGATCTCTCGCAAACTAAGCTGGTTTTTCATGATAAAAGCCGAAGCCATCAATACTCTAGTGTAAGCATGGCGGGCCTGGGGGTAGGCCGGTTGCAGATGATGTATATGACTGGCTCGCTCCTGGCCGGATTTCTGGGGCAGTTTTATGCTGAGAAGAGGATTATGAAACGGTGAGAGCAATCAAGACGTGTGAGCACTGCCCTGTGTCATTCTAGATAGATTTTCTTTTTCCGAATTGATCGTGTAAACCGTACATCACGATATCATACCGGCTTTCTCAAGTTTGGTAACATGACCTGCCAATCTCCGTGCCAGCTCTGGGCAATATGAGCATTCTTGATGATAAATTGACGGCCTAGACGATCCGGGAACCTGGCGCGTGAATGGTTTAATGGTGTTCCCGAGGGATGCAAAACTGATACTAACGGCAGGCGCCTCCCTCACTCAGCCAACATAAACTAGATGCCTTGCCACTTGGGACATCGCAAGCTCCTAGAGCAACAGTGATTTAGACCTGATCATTGGTAAAGCCCTCAAGAACTTTGAAGGTCCTCGTACGAAGGTAGCTTTCTTAAAGAAACATCTTTGTGAAGTGAATAACTAGCTTGGTATATTAAACTGTACTGGTGTTATTGCTCGGCTTGACTTTTCCTTCAAAGAACTAGAATGTGCATGTCCGAAGTCCCACACGAGCCGTAACCATTTCCGACATCAACGTTGTCGTGCTCAGTCATTTTCATCGCGATCACATTCAGGTTTTGGAGCCTTTCATCAACTTCGGTAGGTCTCCGGAGGCGATGATACGAGTTTACAATGCCGGCATCGCAGTCGTTTGTCCGTCTGAGCCGGGCTCGGAAGAAGAACTTCAGAGTGGTATTGAGACACGGCGCCATCCACTTCACATCTCTGAAGGCAATCCCAGGGTTCATCACAGGAGACATGGCAGACCTGCGCTGCAGCGATATGGCGGCTTTGGTGACAAGTCTCCACTTGACAAAACGTTGAGATGTTAAGCATAGAGAAATCAAGCGTTGTTTTAATTTCCTTGAGCGCCGTGTGATAACCAGTTCAAGGTAGAACACAGGCGCAAGTCTTCTTCAATTTCTCACTGCGCCACTGGACCCATTGGTCAAATCCTGCAAAGTTGGCTGGGGAGCTTTTGCCAATCGGCAAGCTGGTGAGCACTCGCACGGGGGCCAGATGCTTTTTGATTAGTTCTAGATAATTATTTTATTTTTCTTAAATCCTCTCTGACCGTGAGCTCTGAGTACGCGACCATCGATCAATCTGTCCTTAAAACTTGAAATGCAACGGATTTACTTAAAGCCGCGGCTATTATAATTCCACATGACTGCTTTGATATCTGCCTCATCAATAACCATTGCCTCTTATCTCAAGGCATAGACTTCATCATCAACGGTAGCGCGTCACAATTCAGTCCAGTAATGCATTGGCTCTACTCAGTTCTGCAGACGCTTCACTTGAGAAACCACATATCAAGTCCATGCCGAGTACCCTCTGAGATCGACGCAATACTGAACTTTATAAGAACAGTGTTCTTGGGCAGTGTAATCTGATCAGCATTTTCGTTATTGCAGTGATTGAAAACACGAAGAGGGTCAAGGTCACTCGTTTGCTAAGAGGCCAGCGTCGGCCGCGGTGCAGCTGGAGAAATTCGAACTTAGATGCAATTTCTTTTTATCAGAACTTAGGGATGAGCAGAGTGAAAACGCCTTCTGTAGGTGATGTGAGTAATCGATTTTAGGTATGGGGTAGCAAAACATTGAACTATGTCCCTCTGCAGCTTTCACGTGTACATTCTCGTAGTATCCAGGCCTTGACCATCCCCCTGTCCTGTGACTCCACAGGTGCCTCTTGACACCATGTTTGGCTGATATTTTGGGCTTGCCAGGCAAATTGTTCTACCTGTCAAGCTCTTGGAGCTTCTGTTTGCAGATTTCACTTGGATACCTCATATTTCACGGTCTTTGTGATTTAGTTCAGAGTTGAGCAGAACCCCATGCTGACAAGGCCATGCCCCGCTGAGGAGCACTCTTCCAGATTAGGAACCACACGTGCTACTGTGATCTTGGCGGTTCGTTATCGGTGCTCGGAAGGATCAAACAGTCCGTCCCTGTGGGGCACTATACGATGTCTAGACTACCCCGCAACATACGGACAACCGAGTTTGCAATGCTGCAAGTGCATGTCATCTTCCGCGTCCGAAGTGGTAGAAGATCTCTGCCCGTGGCGTGTTGGACTGCGATCTGCAGTGGCCAAGATTGTTTAGATTGCTATAGTCACTAAATAGAAGTCAGATCTGCATAGCAACATCCAATTGGGATGTCAAAGGCCGGATAATGATCCCTGAAGGCATTAGATGAGGTGCCTTGCTTCACACGACGCTGAGCATGACCGGGCTACTAGTGGGATATAAATATGGCTTGTACGATGCCACAGGTACGATGCAGATCAACTCGTGAATATACAATCCCTTTCTCACTCAGTGAATCAGCTTGACCCAGATTCAGCATGCACTCCTCTACAATCATTTCATTATTTTCTCCATTCCTTGCATTGGCCAGTCCAGTCGAGGTTTTGGCGAGGCAGGCCAGTACCTGTTGCTATCGAACTACGGTAAGTTGTGCCGACAACGGAAAGGATCTGGGTCAAAGCTGAACATCACAGGACATCAACAAACTTGTTTTTATAACAAGCGAGGGGAGCGGTCCCGTTTTAGACACCTTGAATTGGTGCTTCATTGATGTTCAACGGTAAACTGAAAAGAGCCCAATTACAAGCTTTTCGAAATATCAACGGAATATACTAACGTCTCGAAGCGATGTAAATGACCCTGACAATTGCGAGGCCGCAACGCGTAGCTTGTCGGGGTATTGTACCGATTCGATTGGCACTGAGGCCATCGTTTGCCCGTGAAGGCATGAGATCGAGCCTACCAGATTACCTTTGAGTATACCTTGCGCATAATTTCCTGTCAATATGTGGATCTCGAATGTGATCGAGCTGGCTTCTAGTAATAGTGGGCTATGCGTAATGGGTATAAAAGACTCGTCGTGTCAGTTTGTGAATTACTCAGTCACCAGTGAGAAGAAATACAATCCTACTGACGAGTGCAATGACCACGGTCTCAGGATGCTGTAGCTGCCATGTTTTTATCTCAGTGTCTTTGTTTGGGCTTCTGGACCCAACACTGGGACTTTGGTCCCAGAATCTACATCAAGCCAACCGAATCTTGATCAGCGGCAGAGGTGACATTGATGGGACATCCGGTCTGAACCAGCCGACATTGCGTTGCAGCCCATGAACAGCGACAGTACCGCGAGTAAGGCGGACGGGAGCGAATTAAGGTCGTCTCTTTGTCATTGAAGCAGTTCATAAAGCGTTCCACCTGCCATCGAGTTCGGAGTCTTGATTGTAGCATATATTAGGTCCAATCATGGGTAACGAAGGTCTTGTGGCGTCGCGCCGTAGTACATTTAACGTAGATTGCTAACTCTTGGAGACATTGCCTTCATGTTTTACAGGACCCGGGATTGCTGGATCTCAATTGGGATGGTGACCTAATCGGATCTTGTGCAGGCTGGCTGAGGTTAGCTTTATGCATGTCTTCAGGGGCGGCCAATCGCGCGTGGACACTACCAATTGAGGCCAAATGGCCTGTTGCTGCTGACGCGAAGCGCCGCTACGCCGTGTGACTCAAAAAGCCGCTGATATAAAATCAGAAGATCATGAGAGAAGCATTGGCTTTCCTCATAATCCATCATCATCAAAATGGCGCAACCTTTGGTCAATGACAAGCCGTTGAACGGTCGCGTCACCAGCATCGAGATTGCTGAGAGTCTCCGCCAAAGCGACCGAGCTGGACAACGCAGCAAAGCCATCCCAACGTTCGGCAAATACTTACGGCGCGGCGACCCGCTTTCAGCCAACATGGGACGCCATCGGTGGCGCAGCAGGGTTGGCAAGTCTCATGGTCGAATTCAGGGTGCGCGACGTTCGTAACATGTGCCACAGCTCGGCGCACAGCGACGGCCCAGAAGGCAAGAGACCGCGAGACGCACAGCAATGGGTGAGCTTGTGGCCATATTGTATGGAACTGCCAACCCCGATAAGAGACCTTTACAGCCGTTTTATCAGTACATCCTTCCTGCGTGCGACCATGCGGTCGTTCAGCAATGGGAGTCGAAGGTTGCTTGGACATTCCATCAGCAGAAAAGCCTGCTCCTTGCCCATCGAGAACCATACGAAAGGCGGATCCTCAATGACATCTTCTCGCCTGGCGCAGACTTGACAATCGCTGACACGAAGAAACTCGTGGGTGGAAACATTGCATTTTCCAGGGTTATTTTGGAGAAGCTCGGAACCGTGGATGGCAACGCCCGCATTCCATGCGACACTTTCACTGGACTGATCATGCCCGTACTCAAGCGCCAACTTCATAGGAGGTATGACGACGAGTCGCGTGACGAGTGGCTCGGTCTTGTCATTCGCATCATTCAAAACCACCCGGCCGAGTTTAAAACAAATTTGACGCTCGAAACGGGTGGTCTCATACGCTACATCATCCAGCGATGGGTCGACACCGGCAGAGACCGAAAGGTGCTGGAGAAGTACCTGGCACAAGTCCTGTCGTTGCGCGAGCCCAACGAGCGAAACATGCTGAACACCATTTACATTTCACTGGATGCTCCCAAGCGACTCAACCCGATCACCCGCTACCAGCTTCTACGTTTGTTTTTTCAGCACATGCGGGAGTTCCATCTTGACCTTGAGGATCAATCCCCTACAGGACTTGCAAAGCTGAAGGCGGTGTCATCCACCCCCGGCACGTGGCCTATTGATCTTCTGTTGTCCATCGACAAGGCCAAGGCCTTTGATCTTGTGGAAAATCTCGAGAAGCTGCACCCTGGGAGGAACTTTCTCATGTGCCCTTCGCGGCATTCGATCCTCCAACAAACTCGGGAGCTGGGTCAAATCGAGGGCGATGTTGAAATTCTCAAGACATTACTTTCACGAGCTCTACCAGACAGAGACCTAAATTGGATGTCTAGGGTTAAAGAAGTTGTTAAAGAACGCAGGAAGAAGGCGACAGAGTCACGCGGGCCAGAAGGTCGGGCCTTTTGGGCAAAATCGACTTTCAACCTCTGTGTTGCTACGGGTAACCTCGAATTATTGTTGGAGACGACCAGCTGGGCCCGCCGCTTCAACAAGGACTCCCTTGCTACATTTGAGCTTTACAACAAAGGTCTTTTGAGCACAGAAGAATTCGAAAACTTGATGTGCGCCATCCCGAAACACGAAAGTGATGACACCGCACCGGTTGCCACTGTTGATATGGTAAAGAGGGACATTGACCTTGCCGATCAACTCCTGATCATGCTTACTCAAACGGCTATCATGGCCATCTCGGAGCCTGGATTTCAGCGCAACAGATGGACTCAACTTCTTCACCTTCCCAGGGTTGTCGCAGACGCACGCCTCGCCATCTCGAATGACTTTGATGCGATTTCAAAGTCATCTGATCCAGGCACCTTGACAGCTATCGTCTGGAAGCCCACCATGGCTACACTTCTCAAAGTGGAAGCCTTATTACGGTCACCTGCCGCCCAGGCATTACTTGGTCCAACAAAACAGATTGAGGCGCCGGCGGTGGAAATCCTGCGGAGACTTCCGTATGCCACGGCAGCGGTAAAGGCAGATCTGGTGGATCATTTCATTAAGGGAATCATCGCTCACTTAGGCCCTCAAGCTCTGAAGCCGCAGATGAGTAGTATTGTCAGCGTTGTCCTCCAGGTCGCCCACAGCGATCAACCATCTCTTGCCAGCCCTTTTATACGCGACATCATCAAGAACGGAGACGACAGTTCGTGGCATCGCCGCGTTCTCAACATAGGGTTCCTCCAATCGTTGCCAGCCACAGCCGCTCGTGAGTTTGTCGAAGGTATGGCGGACGCCATGCATGAACTCATGAAGAGTCAGAATGCCCGGCCCTGGGTGGAAGGTCAGCCCCCCGCTATCAAAGTGACAACTATCAAGATGATGGCGCAGGTACTCGAGGGTAACCTGTTTCTTGATCCTGCGTTGTCTTGCAGGATCCTTGTCACTCTTCTCGCAGAGGCTCGCCATATTGACGCCCGTATGACTATCGTCAGCAGCCTTCTTACTACCGTCATGAATCCAAGGTGCCCCTCGTCTTTGCAGAGTCAAATTATCGAGGCGCTTGAATTCCATGTTGTACCCATCGCCGCACAACTCAGTGAGCGCCGGCCGATCACCGAAGGCGATTGGCAGTCGCAGACACTCCCTGATGTAAGCGGTGAGACGCCCATTCTGGACTTGCTTGTCGACAGAACATTCGCAATGCCTTCAGAGAGAAAGATCAGAACGGATCTTTTAAGAATCATCATGAGCGTTCTGAGTCAGTCCGCTAGTAATAACGGCCGCTGGGTGGAAGAATTTGTCAAGAGAATGAATGTCACCCTGACTCCCAGCGAGCGCCTTCCTGTCGGACCCATCAGCTTCAAAAATATTGCTTTCGTCTTCTTTGCGTGCACCGCAAGCATGCCACTTGCCCTTTTCGATACACTTCGAGAGGTCGTGCTTGTGAATATAGCACCCTCCTCCACCGTCGAAAATGTCACAGAGATGGTCAAATCAGACAGCAAGCTTTTCAACTCAAACACCGGGAAGCATTGGCTAAGACAGTACGATAACAAGAGTGAGGTTCTTGCCTTTGTACTCACGAGGGCAATCACCGTTCTGGGGCAGAAGGACTTTTCCACCGGTGGAGAAGTCACCGTCCCGGACTTACAACAATTTCTTCTTAGTGTGGCCAGTCTATTGATCCGTCAAGGCGATCCAATTTACCCCCTTGTTGAGAGGCTAGGAAGCGTTGAGGTCCGGACCAGTCGAGATGATTGGCTCAATTGGAGAGAAAATTGTATGCCTGTTGTCCAAAGCTTGATCACAAGGATTGAGGACATGCGGCGGCATCAGCAATTCAGTGGTGTACTTCCGAACACGTTCCGTTTGCGGATTCAGCTACTGAGAATGCCGTGTTCTTCGCCTAAAGAGCCCTCCATTGCGTCGGAGGTTGACAACTTCGCATCAAGGGTCTCAGATCTAATCGATATCCTGTTGTCACGCCAACTACCTTATCACGATGATTTCTGGCTCCTCAAAGACACAGTCATCAAGATTGCGAACAACTTGGAACCATTGGATGTTGCGTTCAAGCTGGGTCGACTTGATGAAGTTTCAGCATTAAAGGCTCCGCCTATGTCTGCGTATCTTCGGATGGAAATTGTCTCGAGTCTATTGGAGGCTGCAGATGATTCGGGGGAGGCCTCGACGCGAAATGGCCGGCTGATTGTGTTTGGGCTCAAAACATCTGCCGCAGAGGGATTCAGGGAAATGGGTTCCAGGCTTGAGGTCAAGTTGATGAAGCAGGGGTTGAAGGGATGGTTTATGAAAGCGCAGTCAAAGCAGTTATAGGGGAGATGTTGTCAACTTTCTTTTCTTGGATAGCTTTCGAAGGGTACAAATTTCGAGACAGGCTTGCGAAGACAGTCGAGCTGTGTCTAGTGCTATTGGATCTCAAAAGATTTCTAACATCCAGTTTCTGAGCTTGTGGAAGTCTTATGAGCTACTAAGCTTGTGAGCTGGGGTTGAATATTGTCCAAGCTCCGTTCATATCTTCTCGGTGATGTTGGGAACCAGCTCGCCCATGCTTGAGGCCTTGATATTGTGATGAAGGCATGTCTTTGGGACTCAAAGACTTACGATCAACGCTGCAGGTAACCAGATCGGATATCGCAGTCTCGTGAGCTTGATTCCGCACATCCGTACCATCTCGAGCTTGTTTTTCGGAGGTTGTGTCAGATAGGCGGCACGTTAACCCAAAAACGGGTATCATCAGTTCTGTACCGCGAGTTAGAATCGATCTGACTCCGCATCCATTCAATTGCAGATTTGTAGCTGTTGATATCAGCAGTATTGGGGTTGTTGAGACCCGATGCACCATTGCGATGACCAGCCATCCACAAGTTATAGCCATAATAATTCTGGCAGTCCCAACGGGCAGCAACGTCTGCGTATATATCAGAGCTGAAAATAAAGGCGTTAGTCTTCGTTCAATAGATTTTCATTTGTCTGGGCAAGATTCTTGTCGTACTTGAGCCTTGCGCCATTGTTCCATTGGCTCTGGCTTTGCCCTACGAAGCTGGCCCGAGAGGCGCAGATACGGAGCATGCCCCAATTCTGCTTGAATAGTCCAAAATTGGCTGCATCATTACTTTTGTTGTCTCCTTGGTCACGTTAAATACTCTTCCTACTACTTGATCCACATTGCACGAGACTGGATAGACGACATACCGTAGATGTAATCAGTTGACATGCGCTCGGTCTCGAGCATGGCAATAGCAAGGTCCAAGCTGTTGCCTCCAGCATTCAAAATGGCTTGTTTGCGAGCACCAAGCCCGGAGACCGAGTAAAGACCGCGATCCTGACGCTTCTCAAGTAGGGTTTCGCCAGATCTAGTTCTGGTCACTGGCGAAGCTGTTACAGCAATGGCCATCAGCAAGGCTGAGTGTAGAAAGGCGAAGATCTTCATTTTGTATGGAATATAACTACCAGTTGTAGAGTCTAATTTTATGCTTCACTTTTCACGGCGCGTTGAGGAAGACTTTAAGTATACGAGGCTGTGTTGGCCGTCCTACCTTTTGGTTGCATCATGATCTTGACCGTGACGAAAATCACAATTCGGAAATGCTTCACCCGCTCTGAAAAGTGGCAGCTGACCTTTCATTTAGTTCAATGCCGGCCTTTCGACGAATCAATGTCGCTCTTGAAATACTGACATGGCATCACCTGGGCCGCCGCAGCCAGTTGGATGCCGACAGACCATACGCGGTGCATCGAGCGGCGAGATTTGACCCGAAGAGCCACCGCTCCGTGATCATCATTTCATTTTTGTGTGCAAGATCATGTGGTAGCCATGGCACTTTGGCCTGCGATCGCTTTATGTGCGAGTAGGACGGCCCAATTGGCTTCCGGAATTCGTGGATAACACCTCGAAATCTAATTGGGGTTACCCACCATGCACCCTTGCCAGTATATACCTCCTGGTAACGAATCGAACTTGGAACGGCTCATCATTATTGGAACAATCCTCCCAATGCTACCGCGGGAAGTGTGTACCCGTCATCAGAAGCGATGTAGTGGCGTGAGCTAATCGCGGGGTGCATATTTTCATCAAGGATAGCCCGCAGGCTGCATTTCCGTATTGGCTGGTCTTCATTGCTCATAGTAGACGAACACTGACGAGGATGGATTGTGTCAAGGTACAGAGCCTATTGATCTGGAAAGGCTTCAAGGCAGAAGGGCCGAACCACGTCAGACGGTCAACGGGCACCACATCGACGAGTTCGTCACTGGCCGTTCGTTATGGAACCAAACCAACATTTGATCAGCCTCAAGTACTGATCCGGGGCATACTGAGTTGCGCCTGTGATACGACCCGCAGGTTGGTCGCGACCTCGGGATCTGGACCTTGGCCCTGACATGAGTAACATCCTGGAAATTCCACGATACTAACTCTCCGCGCCGCAAAATTACCATGGCTTCAGTTAAGAACAATGAGGAATGTAAAATCGCTTATGTATAAATATAAACTTTTGGCGAAGCATGCGGCCAAAAGCTGGAAGGGTATGAACAATCAAATAAAGCAGTCTATATGCCCAGCGCACTGCCTTTGGCATTTATAGCAAATCCTCAGCCAGGGTGCACCTGTCGGTCAACCTCAAACCCTGGTAATAAAAACGACGCGGCTGTCATAGTCCCCACTGAAGACATACTGCAGGCCCTTGCTCATGAGCGTGGCGCCCGTGTAAGTCTTGGCTCCATCGATGGTGTACCGTGCGCTGGGCTCAAGTCCCTGCAGTCGGATCCACGGCGATGCGTGGTTGAACTGAGCACGCACCTGGAAGTAGAACAGTACAGCCTCGGCACCGTTCTCCGAGATGAAGAGTGCAGCCGGCCAGTTGGACTCTTCAGGTAAGTTCAGACGCCACATGTCGCCGTTGATAACAATGGGGCTGACCTTTTCGCTGAGGGCAAGGAGGCCAGGGATCTGAGCTCGATCTTCGGTGGAGATCTTGGGGGGGTTGAGCTCCAGGCCAAATGAGCCACCCATCATGGCAACGTGAGCGCGGAATTTGATGGGTGTGATACGATTTGTGATCTCGTTGGGTACGGCAGACACGTGAGCACCCATTGCCGAAGCAGGGTAGACGAGGGACGTGCCGAATTGGATGGAGATACGATCGAGAGCGTCGGTGTTGTCAGAAGTCCAGATCTGAGGGAAGTACTGTAGCATGCCGGGGTCGAAACGACCGCCTCCAGAAGCGCAGCCCTCCCACAGTACGTCGGGAAATCGTTTCATGAGGACGTCGTACACGTGATACATGCCCAAAATATTGGTGTGGTGAGCCGACGGTGTAGCGCCCTCGTGAATGCCCCTGTTGCTGTCCCATTTGACATAGGTGATCGGAGCGCTGGACAGAAGCTCAGAAAGGGTGTCGATGATGAACTTCTGGACTTCAGGAAGGGCGGCATTGAGGACGAGCTGGTTTCGCTGAGTTGTGCGCGGGTAGTCGCCAGCATGGAGGACCCATTCGGGATGCTCCTGGTAAAGAGTCGAGCTGGGATTGACCATCTCAGGCTCGACCCAGATACCAAACTGCAGTTTATCGGGCGAGTCGGCAACCTTGAGATCGGTAATTCGCTTGACGAGGGTTGGCAGCGTATCAGGGAATCGCTGCATATTGGTTTGCCAGTCACCTAGGCCGGCGGCATCGTTGATGCGAGGATGTTCGTTGCCAAACCAGCCATCGTCGAGCACAAAGAGCTTGGCGCCGAGATCCGCAGCGTCGCTGGCTAGCTTGTAGATGGTGTCTTGATCAAAATCAAAGTAGAGGCCTTCCCAGCTGTTGAGCTTAACAGGTCGCGTTTTAGTGGCAAACTTGCTCTTGATGAGGTTCGTACGATATAGTCGGTGGAAAATGCGAGAAACACCACCAACACCAGCGCTGGAGTAGGCGGCGACGACTTCGGGCGTTGTCAGCGACTCACCGGGAGCCAGCGGCCATGACAGTTGACTCGGGTTGAAGCCGAGCATGGCGCGCGTCATACCCTGGGAGCCCTTCTCCACCTCCGCGGAGAAGGACCCGGAGTAGACGAGCGAGAACCCCCAAGCATCACCATGCGATTCAGTTGTGTCAGGCGCCACGAGGGCGAGGAAGGGGTTGTGTAGGTGCGAGGAGTAACCGGTTCGGCTGCCAAAGCTAGACGAAGGGTGGGAGGTCAGCAAAACGTATCGGCGACCACGCATTCATTGTAACCTACCCCTGTTGGCCGTACTCGATTTTGCGGCGCGTTCTCACGGCTTCGCGGAACCAGTCTCCTCTTAGCTGGATCATTTCCATCTCTTCGTAAGGAAAGTCGATGCTGAGACTCGCAGCCTTGTCAATCGTAATGGCACCCTGGCCGTTGTTTGTTATCTTGGTGCTTCGGACAACAGCATCGTGCTTGATAAAGACTGAGTACGAGAGGTCGACGGCGATTGAGTTGATGCTGTCGTGGAGAGTAATTATCAGGGTCGAGACCTCCTCGTCGGTTCCGAAAGTCGATGGAAGACCTTCCAGTTCCGGCTTGCCAGGAACAACCTTGTGAGATTGGTATCGGAGATCACTGACGGTGGAGCCGTCGGCCTGGTGGACTTGTATGGCGGGGACACGGAAATCGCCACGACCAAGGTCCGGATACTCGCGCTGGACACGGTCCTGCATGCTGTTCCAACCATTGACAAGGGGCGCTTCTGTCTCAACAGTCTCGATGGCGGGGCCGCCAAAGTGGTCGGAAAAGAGGTCACCTGTCTCCTCGTCGACGTGGAAGCGGTAAGATGAGTGTTCTGTGTGGAGCGCGAAGGATTTGCCTTCGACAACGATACCTGCGGCCGCGTCAGTACGATCACCTAACGCCAGAGATACGGTGGCAGACAAACCTGCGACCTTCGACTCATTGCGCGACGATTGCCACTCGGTGAGACCCAGAGAAGGTGCCGCCGCCGGCGCAGAACGCCCGAGCCAGTGCTTAACCATTTCGGCAAATCTTATCGGGTGATATTGGGGACGTTATCGTTGGTAGTCGTGGACAGATGTTGCGACAAAACGCGACTCGATGGGTTTCTCCTTCAACGATGAGCTTTCATCGTCGGGGGCGGGGTCCAGGGCTTTATAGGTCTCATCGCCTCCATATCGGCTCGCCGTTATTGTCGGTCCATTATGGGATTCATACCCGTGTTTGACTGGAGACACATATGCAGGCCAAGTGCGCGCCGCCCGGATTCTACATCGCGAAATCAAGATCGGTGGGGGTACGGAATTATCGCCGTGGAGCTGCAAATGCTCATGCGCGTCGGGAAAGGGTCTGCCACGCGCCTTAGCGTAGGGGAATAGCAGTTGGAGGCGGTTTACCTCGTGCCCTAGCCCCGCATGTGGTCATGGATCGTCACTCGTGGCATCAGGGCCGGAGGGCGCGGGGTAGTTGTTTGTTGATGGCGGGATACTGTCGGAAAATACATAGCTCGGTTTCCCGCCGCGGGGTTGTGGGGATCGTTATCACGTGAAGGGGACAGTAGCTGGTTACAGGCATATCTCCCCGTACATTGCATTCGGTCAAGCCTGGGGCCATGAGCACCGGAGCAGCCACAAGAACGTTTGAGCTTAGCGTACATGGGCGCCCAAGGCCTACGGCTCTCAGCCCCCAGACTGGATACAGCAGCTCGCGTTTAATTCGACGGGATAATATCCTGAGTTTGAGAATGAGATAGATTGAGTGGCTTTCTCGATTCAAGACCTCAAAATTCTAGGTATAGTGTATCATTCAGCGCAACAGATATATACGGAAGGTAAAGTATGACACAGAAGGGAAATTAATGGATGATCAGTCAGGCTCGCTTGGCGCGTTGCGCGCGGCAAACTTAGAACGTGAGACGAGCTCCAGCCTGGCCAGGCACGGTGGCAGCGACCTTGGAGGATCCAAGGAGGCTGTAGGCATAGGGAGGCGAGCTAGCGGTCAGCTTGCCAACGGGAGCCGTGTTGGGGGCACCGCCAAGATCGTTGTCGAAAGCGTTGGCGTAGCCGACGATGTCAGAGTCTTGTGTCGTGATGGGAACGGTGACGTTCTTGAAGGCGTTGCTCTGAATGAGGACCTGAGCGTTCTGTCGGGTGTTGATGGCCGAGTTCATGCTGTTCGAGGTTAGTGGTTGTTTGAACGAAAGCAGAAGAAGATAAGCCTACTTGAGGTAGTATGAGTTGTAAATGTGGCCAGTACCGAAGCGCAGCGAGGGGCCGCGAGAGCCGCAGTTGGCCCAGTAGTTGTGAGCATAGGTGACGCGGAGATGGCCTGAGTCCTTGGCGCCGTTGTTCTCGCTGTGGCCGACGAGGGAGGTCTTCCAATGATCATGGAAGTAAGTGCTAAAGAAATAGTGTCAGAAGGGCACGTCTTGGGTAAGCGGGGCCAAGCATACTAGGAAATAGTCACAAAGTCGGCGGCGTGGGAGAGGTCAACAAGACCGTCGTAGTAGTCCTTGTCAGCGATAAGCTTGGAGTAGAATTCGCAGTGATCGACCCAGACGTTGGTGGTTTCCTGGAAGACAAAATGTCAGCATTGCTTAACGCAGGATGAAACTTTTTGACGTACGTCGATCCTGAAACCATCGCCAACACTGCCGAGAACGTTGCGAGAGATAATGTTACGCAGAATGATGTTCTTTTGGCGACGAGCGTACAGCCCAATGCCGTCAAAGCCTAAACGCATTAGTGCGGGAAAAGAATGTCCATTGCGAGACACGTACCGGCGCCGGGAAGGCCGATGACGGATTTGTTGCTGCCGATGCGAATGTTCGCGCTGCCAGAGATGATTCCCTTCACAACAACAATCCTCGGGGTTGCGTCCTTCTCGTTCACGGCAGCAGTGAACTGAGGAAGAGTGGAGACGGTGGTGACGGTACCGCCGGCACCACCAGTGGTACCGCCGTTGGTGGAAGCGTACCCCAGTGTAGCAGCCTCAGAGATGGTGGCGCGCTTCTCGATATGGACGTGCTCGGCCTCGCCAACTGTGGGCGTGGGCACCGCGGAGGCGACGGCGACAAGCAGGGATAGAACCGACGTAAACTTCATTTTGATGTCCGGACGTGTTCGTATCCAGGTGAAATGTTTGGTGGGGTCTGAGAAAGTGAGGAGGAAGCCCAGCAACCTCTTAGTGAAAGAAAGGATGGAGGAATTGAATGAAGGTGAGGGTGAGTCGATTTTGACGATCTCGAGAGGCAAGAGACGAGATCTTTTGTAGTCTGGCGAGCGAGAGGGCCACATCGTATAAGCAACCCCTTGCCCTGATCACTCCTATCCCCGTCTGATTTCCTCATCAGGCGCCATCAAGACACGATTGGCAGGGCCCCAGAAAGCCCTATGGCACCATCGAACCGGGGACACGACATGGAATCCATGGTAATCCCGTCCGATGAGGATATTCCGAGACCCTGGCGCACCGAAGGGGGGACGGCCACAAAACGTCAAAGATCCGCGAATAAAATTTGGCCAAGGGTGACATTGGAGCTGCAAACCGAGTACTGGTCACAAGTGACTCGGCCGAAGCTGAGGCCGTTTGTCCACAGCTTCCCCTTGCAATCAAAGACGTCAGAACCAGGCCGGCGGGCTACACTCCATTCGGCATCGGAGGTGTCACGTTGAGTGCGGCTACAGATGGTGGTTCCGGCATGGCCCCGTAGCCAATTTCCTCGAATCAAATGACCCGCTATGCGCGTGGGTGGCAAGGGCTGGCCGGTTCTGGCGGCATCGAATCTGGGGTACATGTTAATCAGTCCTTGGTAATCGCGGGGGGAGAAAGTGCTGGGGAGGAAGATTTCAAAAAGTTTGTGTAGACAAAGGGAACATGAAAACTTTGAGCGAGAAGTCTAGCTTCACAGACTTTGAAGGTGTGGAGGAGCTACGGGAGCGATTCGACCTGGGGGCGCGATTGAGTTGGAACGTTTCGAAGCTTGATCTGCTTAAGCTTATTAACGCTGGGAGGAAAGGCGAGGGCAGGGGTTTTGCCTGATGGGGGCTTTTGTGGCGGCACTGTAGACGTGAGGACCAGTTCAAGAAAGGGGGGCCGTGTCATGCCTGCAATCACGCGTTGTCAGGTCTGCCCGAATTTTGGCATGTTCTCGATTTAATTGAGGCCGAGCTCACGCAGACCGGGTACATACTCGGGGAACGTAATTACGGTTGTACCTGTATGATGACCATGATTGCCTCACTCCATCACCTCCCACTTGATATCAACAGGGCCATGCCCTTTGTAAATACTTCACTTCGTTTTATTTGCTCATCTCTGAGTGCTGAGGATTTCATCGTAACCTATTGCTGACACGCAGGAGCAAAACATACGCCAGTGACATGCTGAGCAAAGTGATGCAGCAGCCCATGACGGGTGAATGGCGGACCCACTGCAACGCCAACCACGACCACATCGCCGTTTGAGAAACCCATCGAGATTGTGCTAGAAGAGCTCCGGAATAATGGCCAATCGTAATCTTTTACCTACCGAATGTCACTAAGCACCTTCGGATACAGTACCGCAGCCATGCAGAACATTTCAGATTCCGTTATGTAGAACCACCGCGAGCTGGAGCAGTACTACAATGAGGTCGTAAACTCTACGAACCACGACCACCAGGAGCGTTTCCGCAATCATTTCATGATAGCTCGTCCTTCACTCAGTTAGCGAAGAGTTGGTTGTCTACCCTGCATTCGAGAAGCATCTCGGTGAAGAGAGCAGATCCATGACTCAGAGCGATTGAAAAGAACATCATGAGGTACTGCCCAGCGTCCACATAGACTTTGAGGCGCAAGCTAATACAAACAAGTTCAAAGAACTTCTCAAGACATGGCAAACTCTAAAGCCTGCCAACGCCCGAACAGGCTTCGAGCAGCTCTGATCTATCCTTGCCGAGCATATCAACGAGGAGGAGAGGGAGGAGATGCCAGCTCTAGAGGAAGTCCTAAGCCCGGCTCAAGGGGAATCCGAGTCGATCGCAAAGAGTTTCGGGAGGAGTAAGACCTTTGTGCCCTCGCACAGCCATCCCAGTGCTGGCGAGCACTCCGTCATGGGTCTACTGACGGCACCGATCGACCATGTTGCCGACGTTTTCAGGAAGTTCCCGGAAAACACCATCTCACCCAGCACCTCAAGCAAGTAGACGTACAAGTATGGGTCAATTCTGTTTTTGAACCAAATGGGGGTTTGATCCTATGCTGTTGCTCGTGATAAGGCATATAGAGCCAACAGCAAATTATAACTAAACGAGATGAATTAATTGATCGACTTGAGGCGGTTCGTAAACGCTTAAGGCGGATCCTGGTTGAGTGTGGTGGTGGAAATATGCGACTAATGATTTGTGCTTATTTTTTTAAATGCCTGAACCCAAGACCACCAACCGAATTCTACGCCCAACTGACTTGAGACGTGAAATACGAAGGAATCCTGAACTTCTTGTCCTCTTGCTTCTCACGGCGTCTCAAAGGTTATTTTGCTCGTGCGGTTGCCCAGGGTGCCTTGCCTCAGGTGGTCAAGCCACTTAAGGCCATTTCCAGACGAAGCCAGCAAGTCCTGCGTGCGGTGAATGGAGGAAAGGTCTTCAAGGAAGGAGTGGAATTTTTAGTCTGAATACACTGAGCATGCCCATTGAAACTGTTGCCTACACTAGGTTCCTACCCTTCTAGCTATTAGGTGCATCTCTGTCACCCATCTTGAAAACCCTCACAACACTCAACCACCACCAAGGCCACGCTTGAGATCTTACATAAAGTACATTCGGTCACTCAACAGAGCATTTCCTACACAAATCGGCTTTGTCTTCTTCTTCTTGACCTGAACTTGACCAATACATACACCAAAAAACCCTCTTGTCATGTCTGACAACGACAGCAACAGTGGTCAGGGTGGCACCAGCTTGCCCGCCGCCTCCAATGCAGCCCCTACTAAGATGCAGCTGAGTGACCGCGAGCAGGAGATTCTCTCGAAAGCCTGGAGCTGCATGAAAGTCCAGCCGGAGGTGAGTAAATGACACGCTATCTTGATTGTGGCGCGCCCTCGACTTGCAGTTTGTTTTAGACTTTCAGTGCTGACCCTACCCATCTACCAGATCGACTACGTCCGCCTCGCTGCTGCCACCGGTATGACCAACCCACGTTCCGCCGCCAACGCCTGGGGCGCCCTCAAGAAGAAACTGTTCGTCGGAACCGCCGCTGCAACTCCTATCAAGGCTCGTGCGGCTGCCGCTGCCAACAACGAGGGCGGTGATTCAGAGAAGAAGCGCAAGCGTGCCACTCCCAAAAAAAAGGTTATGGCTGAGGGCGACGAGGATGATGGCGATGCTGCCCCCATCGAAACCCCGATCAAGAAGAAGCGCGCTCCTGCTAATAAAAAGGCTTCTGTTAAACCTGCTGCCAATGAGGCTCCTGTCTCTGCCAACGCTGCCGTTACCGATTCAGAGGCTACTCTTGCAGACATGGATGAGGGTGAGGCCAAGGTTGAGCATCAGAGTGGGGATGAGCTCTAGCTATTACTCTTTCTGCATCGCTCGAATCGATCGATGTCAAACGGAAGACAGTTGGACCAAACATCGTTGGAAACGGACTCTGAAGAATAGTCAAGCTTGCAGCGAGCTTCAATTGTGTGGGCTCAACTTGGCTGTCATTTACATGAAGAGCAATGAGCAGTGTGGATGACAGGTCGGTCTGGGAACATTCCCCGAGACGGTTTTGAAATTTGCAATACATTGACGTTCATCGCACTCAGGATATCCGTCCCAGGTGACTAGGTAGCCAATTCAACCTACAACGGGACCTTTGGGGTTGTGACCAGGTGATACTCCACTGCAAGCGGTAATTGTCTTTGACAAATAGGCATTGTTCATTGGCCAGCGGAACAATAATGATATTTGAAATTCGTGTTCATTTGACAGTACTCATGCATCGATGTACTTCTTCAATCCACGCAGGCGCTCCTTGGCATTTTCGAGGACCTCATCAGGCTTGCAGACAGCAAATCGGATGTAGTCCTCAGCAATCCAGGCATTCTTGTCCGTGTAGAACTCGGTTGGAGGTACGGCAGCAACGCCGACCTCTTGAATGAGGAACCAGGTAAGCTTGAAGTCGCGTGGACGACTGGCAACATGTGGTGGGTATGGGTAGTCCTCTGGCAGCTTAACCTTCTTCATGTTCACGAGGACAAAGTAGCCGCCCTCGGGCTCCGAGTAGGGCAGATCGAGCTCTTTCCATATCTCATTGAAGCGGTCAATCTTTCCCTTCATCTCAACGACGGACTCGTCCCAGAATCCATGCTTATCAGCCTCCTCAAAGCCTTTGGACGCAGTGTTAATGTGATGCTCGCTCGGACCAGGGGATTACACTTACCGACAGCGCAGGCCTCTTGCAGAGGCGAAACCGAGGAGTAGCAAATACGGGTGTGCGCGGCTGAGACGTGCTGGATCAACTCAGCAGGCCCCATCAGCCAGCCTACGCGCCATCCTGTGGCGTAGAAGTTCTTGCCAGCCGATCCCACAGTAATGGTAAGTCGTTCGATCTCAGGCGACAGGGTGGCGATGCGCGTGAAGGGCACGTAGTAGAGCCGGTCGTAAACCTCGTCAGACAGGATGATGATCTCATGCTTGACACAAAGGTCACCGATTCTCTGCAATTCATCCTTGGAGAAGACTTTACCGACAGGGTTGTCTGCGGACGCTGTCAGCAAGTAGCACTGTTGTCACAAGCAGGGCCACGAACGAGGGGTGTTGAGAACAATCATCTTAGTTTTCGGGGTGATGGCTCTCTCAAGCTCTTCAAAATTGATGGACCACTCAGCAGCAGAGGACGTCTTCTCGGCACCGTCCTTGGGTGGCTGAAGGGGAACGTATGTAATCTTGCCACCAGGCATTTCGATGTTGCTGATATACTGGTCAAAAAAGGGCTCGAAAATAATGACTTCGTCTCCCGGTTCAATGAAGGCCATGAATGCGCTGAGCATGCCTAAAGATGGATGTCAGTGATGGGCCGGTCAGAAACGGCCGCACCATACTGACCTTCGTTGGCACCAGTCGTAATCGTGACCTCGGTTTCCGGGTCGATTTGGCGGCCCCAGAAAGGGGAATAGGCGTCAGCGATGGCTTTCTTCAGACGAGGACGGCCTTTTGTTGGGCTGTACTGATTGCACTCGACGCGGTCGAGTGCCTGCTTAGCGGCATCAAGGATGAAGTCCGGGGGGTTGTAGCCAAAGAAACCCTGTCCCATGTTCACAATAGGCTGGTTGGGCGAGGCGGCGGCGGCCTCATTGACAATGGACCTAATCGGGGTGAGCAGTGCTACCTTCTTGGGCGACTTCCTCACACTCACCAGACATCCTGTCGCTTCCGGAAACGCGCGCAGCGGGCTTCAACTTGCTGCTAAGAGTCATATTGCTTGAGTGGAAACTTCGACGGCTCAACGTAGCTGAGCAATTGGCAGCGCTCGATCGAAGGGCGAAGGTAAGAGGGTTCATGTGGCAGATGTGCAGAATTCAAAGAATGAGCAACTTGATTTCAAATGGTCCTGGATGTGACTGCTGCTGCCCCATTCAGAGCCGTTGATGTCCCAATGGGCATTCGGCATCGTCAAATTACGCCATCCCATTAACCCCCCGATTGTCGGGGCTGGAGAGGGGTGGAGATGCGCCTACCCGACCGCGTCAGGCAGAGGGGTGGGTGTATGGGGGTAGTGGGGTACTATCGCAACTGAGATCGCGGGGCTTCTCGATGTATCACCGCCCCTGGGGTGTTACACAAGCGCTTGTCATCGGTAATATTTGTCACTGTCTCCGGCTCAGCATCACATCAACGTTTCCCAGCGTCAATCTGCGTCGCGAGACGCGACCCTTGCTATGGCTGTTCCGCTCTCCAAGCTGCGGCCAACCGCGCTTCTACTCACGATTCGATTTAGCTCTTCGTTACCTGACCTCACATTAGACATTCCCTCGCCTGCATCGACTACCATAGTCGCCTTGAAGAACCTGATACGCACACAGCTCGAACCCCCCTACAATGCCAACCGGCTGCGCTTAATTTATCAAGGCAAGATCTTGTTGGATAGCGCAGCGTTGGCTGCTTTACTACCACCGACTCCTCGCTTGAGCACCATCACAGCCGTTCATCAAGATGTTGCGACCAAAGGCAAAGGCAAGGCTGTCGCTGGCCAAGCAGACGAGGAGCAACAACGCATCTACGTGATCTGCAGCATCGGAGACGAACTTTCGGCCGAAGAACTGGCCAGTGAGGTCGAAGCGGCTCAGATACCTGTGGCAGCGACGTCTTCGAAATCAGCTGCCCCGAATGTCCCGGCGACAGGCGCAGCGAGACCGAGCACACCCAACTCACACCACCCGTCTCGGGGGTTCGATCGTCTTCTCGCGGCAGGCTTCACGCAGGCTGAAGTGTCGCAACTCCGACTACAGTTTACCGATATACAAGCACAAAGACATACCCCCGACACGATGCCGTCTCCCGACTCGATGCGAAACATGGAAGATTTGTGGATGGACGCCAACGGCGGGAACGCGGTGCCGGGAGGCGGTGGCGTGACGGCAACTACAGCAGCTGGTGAGGAGCCAGTGGTGCACGACTCGCTTGGCTCTATGCACGAGCAACTCGATGGGCTCGTCAAGGGAATGCTCATGGGCTTTTTCTGGCCCCTTGGCGGGCTGGCCTGGCTTACACGTGAGGATGGCATGCTTTCACAACGATGGCGTGTGTGGATTGGTTTTGGTGTTTCCTTCAGCGCATTTGTCGGTCTCATGAGAGCCCTCTTTGGCGGAGAGCAGTGACACTGGATCCATTGGTTCAGGCGTCCTTTTGGTTTCAGGGCCACAGCGTACTGCATTGATCATACTGCATTTAGTGGTCATCACGCACATAAACACACATACACAGAGGGGGCGCCACAAGGGCACGCAGAAGGCCATTATGCTACTTTGATTGGCGGCCTGGAGCATGGGCGTCGGCGCATGCACACACCCAAGCTCCCATTTTTGTCGAGAACAAAAAAGCTACTGGTATATTCCACCCGAAACTCCTGACCTGTCCCTGGACTGTTGCCACCACTCGGGTGTTACGTAACCCCGCATAACGTGTGGCTGAGTGACGATTGTCGAGAGGAAAACTCACCTTACAGGTACAAGCTCTGCGCTGCAACAATGTCGCGGCGGATCTTGTTCAAACTCGCCTCGAACTTGACTTGTAGCTCCTCAGAGCCCATGACCTTGGCGCCCTGGGCCATTTGGCGAAGCAGCTCCTCAAGGCGGCGGAACAGACGGATGAGGGAGCCCTCGTAAGCATTGGTCATTTTGCTACCCCTGTGATTAGCTAGGATCGGTCGGAGAGGGCAATATCACATACCAAATATCGGCAAAAGACTTCTCGTTAGACCATGCATGCACCGTCTCCATCAGTTGCCACTTGAATTTTCCGACAAACTCCTCTTCGTTGATATCCATTTTGCTCTCGATGCTGACCTTGGCGACCTGCCTAGCCTTGGCAAGAATAGCACGGAACGGCTTGTCAAGTTCCTCCTTAAGCGGCTGAGCCTCAAGTTTCTCATCGAGCACGAAACAGCTTAGCACGGCAGCAATCGTCTCAGGCGCCAGTTCGTTGAAGAACCTGTCGAAAAGAAGTTCAGCTAGGATGAGCTCATGGCCTTCGGTAGACGACAGCTCGCAGGCGACGCGGGCCTTGAGCTGCACAACTTCGTTCTCATTGAGGAAGCCGAGGCGACGTAGAACACGCTTGCGAGCCTTGAGTTCGTCCATCTGTGATATACTGTGTGCTTTAGCGATGCCCTTCTTCTTCTCCTTGATCTCTTCGCCGAGCTTGACCTTGGCGCGATATTGCAGGTAGAGCTCCGGTAAAAGAGGCGATCCGTGGAGTGGGTTCGTCAGAAGGCGAGACTCGAGAACCTCAATCTTGCGCAGGAGCTTGATGAAGGATTCATCTTTGATGCCCATGTTTTCCATGGGGTCGAGGATCGGCAGGCCATCTGGAAAACGGCGTGTGACCTCGAGTAAAGATCTGCGAACCTGATCCTTGCTAGCTTGCGAGTTGATATCCTTAGGCATGAAAACGCGGATCTGACTGATGCTCTTCAGGCAGGTTAAGAGGCAAGGGACAATCTCAAAACGGGCCGGGCTGTTCGAAGTCGACTCGGGGTAAACGTTTTTGGGCATCTCGGTCGTGATGTTGAAGCCCTGTGTGATCTCATCGCTGTCAGGCGAGATGGGAAGCATAACATCAATCATGATGGACTCTTGCGGCGGGTACTCAGGCTCGCCCTTTCTACTATCGGGAGCGCGGCGCTTAGTAAAATTGGCAACGACACCCCAGCCAAAGTCCGTTCCGTCGAGGCTAGCCTCCTGAAGCTTAGGGTTGTAGATGCGGACAAGGCGGCCAGGCTGTAAAAAGTCGAGACAGTGTGACGGATGTTGAATGACAGCCCGCATATCCATGGCGAACTGCTCAAGTTGGGTTCTGATGTTGTAATAATCCTTGACTGTCGATTCATCCGTGATGACAAAGTTATCCTTCTCCTGTTGAAGTTGCACGAGTCCTCGTTCTAGGTCTGGTACGCTGGCGGCATTCTGGAACTGGTGGAAGCAGCGCTCAAGCATAAACTCAGGTGAGATGGCTTCGATGCGCAGAAGGTTGAGTATCATGTTATAACCCAGGTAGAAGGCCGAATTGAGACGATCCTGTTGACCTACAACAATGCCACGGGCCGTGTCAGGCTCCATCTTCTCGTCGATCATCATGATAACGATGCCACGGGAGTCTAGGCCACGACGACCGGCACGTCCAGACATCTGAATGTATTCGGATGGTGTAAGAGGCCTGGTCTTGACGCCGTCCCATTTGGTCACCTGTGTGAAGACAACAGTCTTTGCAGGCATGTTGAGACCAATCGAGAACGTCTCAGTTGCAACGAGAACCTTGATCAGGGACTCCTGGAAGAGAATCTCGATCGTCTCCTTGAGAATGGGCAGGAGGCCAGAGTGATGGACGCCGATGCCGCGCTCGAGCAGAGCCAGGAGATTCGAAATTTGAGGAAGCTCACGATCCTGGTCGGACAAACTCTTGATAGCATTGTTGAAGACGTGGCGAACCATTGCCTTTTCGTTATCGGTATTGAACTGCAGGCTCGACAGGCCAACAGCAAGATTCTCACACTCTCGCTTGCTGAAGTTGAAGACGATGACGGGCTGGAACTTCTTGGTCATGATCATGCGTACAATCTTGACAATGTCGGCCTTGGGATCGGCGCCGCCGCCCTTCTGCGTCTTTTTGTTGTTGCCCTTTCCCTTCCACTTGGCGTTCGCGTCGCCGGGATCTTGGCCCTTGGATTGCTCAACCTCTTGCATTGTCTTTTGAAAGTTGTTCTCCTTGAAGACTCCCTTTTCGTCAACCACGAGGTAGATGCCTTTGCCGCCGGCTGGAAAAAAGTAGTTCTGTAAGGGTGTTGGTCGGAAATCCGTATATACGACGTGACAGGCCTGCTTGTGGATCTTGGCAATCCACTCGGCAAACTGGAAGGCATTCGGAATAGTGGCTGACAAGAAAACATATCGGACCTTGTCAGGCAACAAGATAATGGTCTCCTCCCATACGACACCGCGGGTCTTATCACGCATGTAGTGAATCTCGTCAAAGACAACCCAAGCCACCTCCCGCATGATCTCGGAGCCACGGTACAGCATAGACCGCAAAATCTCCGTCGTCATTACAAGACAGCTGGCGGTGGGGTTGATAGTGATGTCGCCTGTCATGAGGCCGACATCGCCAAACATGGCTTCAAAGTCCCGGTACTTTTGGTTGCTGAGGGCCTTAATGGGACTGGTATAGATGACTCTCTGGTTCCTCTTGAGGCACTGCGCAATGGCGTATTCGGCAACGACCGTCTTGCCGGCACTGGTATGCGCAGAGACAAGAACACTCTCATCTCGCTCGATGGACGCAACCGAAAGGCTTTGAAAAGGGTCAAGCTTGAAGTTCCATGTCCTGGCGGGCTCGTCGGGGGCTTTGTGTTCGGAGAGAGGGATGTACTCGTGGTCGAGATCGGGAGGTAGCGCGACTTGATGCTGGATGTTGTGGGACAGGACCAAGGAATCCCCCTCGTCAGGCGCAAATGCTTGTGCGCCAGCCACCTGACGCGACTCGGCCGTTTGGAAGCTGTCGGTCAAGACGGGCTCAGGTTCTTCATCCTTCTTGCGGCGCTTGTTGCTCTCGTTGCCATCGTTGTCCTCGGCGTCAACCTGTGGATCCTCCGATTCATCGCCGTTCTTTGCATCATCCTCGGCGTCTACCATTTCGGTGTCAACAGCGTCGGTTGTTGTTGGCTGAGACTTTATGATGCCATCGGCCTTGCGCTTCTTGCTCTTGTCCTTCTTGCTTTTCTTGGATGGTTTGACGCCCGTGGGCGCGGCCTCGGGCTCGCTGAGTTCTGAAGTCTCTGCCCGAGGATTGCCCTCGAAGACATCAAAAAGGTCGTCCATTGCAAAAGGCAGAGCCGACGGGCGGTCATGCAGGTTGCGCAAGAAATGGAAGATGAATTCGATAGCCAAAAGTTATAAGAGAAGGTTGCAGGCGCAAAAGAATGCACCAACCCGCGACAGGGTGGCAGAAAAATAAAAATTGGCTGAACTGGGAGCTCAAGGGCAGGGCGGTGACGTACAGCCAAGGGCCTTGGTTTTAGCATGGTCAATGCGTTGGCTATGTCTCTGCCATTGAGGTGGTCAGCAGTTTTCGGGACTGGGCGGGTGAGTCACGTGGGCTTATGTAACTTTAGAGAGCTTTCATCGATTGCCTCAGACCACTCGAATAGCCGGACAAGCCTGCGACAGCACCATCACGACCGGATTTTCTACCAGCCATTGTACCCTTTGCACCCCTAAAATTCAATCGTCAAGGCACGCATACAGATCAAAACCTCCCAGCGACCTCATGACGCTAACCATTGACCCCACAGATGTTCTCTGCTGCCGTCACCCGCGCTGCTACGCAGGCGCCTTCGGTCGTCGCCCGCCGCGGCTTCCACGCGACCCGTTCCCAGATGTCTTCGCCCTTCCACTACCCCGAGGGTCCCCGATCCAACATCCCCTTCAACCCCAAGTCCAAGGTGTTCCCCTTCATCTTCTGGGGCTTCATGGGCGCCGGTTTCGGTATTCCCTTCGGCATTGCTGGTGAGTGGTTTCCCCTTCCCCCGGACACGGCATATGGGTTTCCCTACTAACTTTCAGCTCCACAGCCTGGAAGCAGAGCAAGGCCCCGGAGGCATAAGCTTGCTCGACTATCAGAGACCGAGGACGAGCTGCAATGCGTGTAAGATGGAGGGCCAAGCAGAGTTGCGTGCAGGAGGAGTAGATGTGTAAATAGGCCAAATAGAGGCTGCTGCCCGTGCCTATCGCTGGACTCAACTGAAGCGATTTGTTATTCCTAAAGGCTCTTCTCGATCAGAAACGCGAAGAATTGTTGGTAACGATAGTGTTCGTGTGGCTACCTTCGGGCTGAGAAGGAACATGAACGAGTTCTCACGCCAGAACCCAACAACAAACAGTCTTCCCGACACTGCCATCCTTCGATGATTTACCTCAGAGTGACCCTTGCGCATCGTTTTTTCGCCAGTCAGATTATGGTCCGCACCTTGACGCCCTTTTATTCGCCCAGTAACATATTCCAACAAGGCTTTGAAAGCGTTCATATTGCGACCGTATCGCATGCAATATCTAAGAGGCATTACAAGCCGTTGTCTACATGGTATCTCATCTATCTATCGGTACATGGAATGGTATTACATCGCGGCCAATACCCGCTTGTTAGGCGCCTTGCGGTGGCCAAGCTTCTTTGACCACCCGGTGTGACTGTCGTTTAGCAGCTGGTGCAAAAAATGCTCCATGTACTCTTCCCGATCCGGCGACAATTGCCATCGTGCCTTGAGCTCAACGTATGTATCGAGGACTAAACTCTCGTCACCGCATCGCATGCACGCTTTGAGAGCCCAGCCGGCAAGCCACGTGTCTATGTAAAGACTGTTGACACCGTTGTCAACGGCTTGCAGCAGTGCTGAGAAGAGGTTCTGAAGCCGGTCCTTGGTCCAGGCGGACTGTCTGTGGCCCCCGTGGTTCGCAAATGCCTTAAATAAAAGGAGAAAGATGGCGCCGTGCAAGGGAACATCGAAGCGCTTCATCTCGTCGAGGAATTGAACGACGCGATTGAGATTGCCCTTGATGGCATGATGTCGTATGAGTATGCGATATGTGCGGAGATCAGGTGTCGTGCTTGCTAGTTGTTGAAAGGACGATCGCATAGCAGGATGCTGCTGTCCGACCTTACCAAACATTATGAGAACTTGGGCAACGACCCTATTGGCGTGATAGTCTGGGGAAGGAATCGTTGCGCCCTTGGAGCCACTATTCTTCATGTGATCGTAGACTCGAAGGGCGGCGTCTTCGTCTCCTGCACGGAAGAAGCTCGCAATGAGACAATTGAGCACGACGGTGTCGATCATCTCCCCCGCCTCGACCATTTCTTTGTATGCGGCCCGTATTCCGTCAACGTCGCCACGCAGGCCGAAAAAGTGAATCAAGCTGACGTGGTGGTACCGATTGAACTCAATTCCTCTCGATTCCATCTCCTTGTATATGCGCTCGGCCAGGGTAAAATTGCCCGACTTTGCCGCTGCGTCGAATAAAATGTTGAAGGTCACTCCATTGCCCAAGTGTCCGCCGCTCTTCTCCATCTCGTTCCAAAGGTGCAGTCCTGATTCCGCCTCAGCGTCGGTGATGCTTCGTGCGTATTGACTGGCAAGTGCCAAGGCAGCATTCCACTCTCGACGCTGCAAGCTTAGGCCGCAATCTTTGACGTCGCCGATGACTGAGAAGTAACGGAGCATTGATTTCGAGTTTTTCGTCTTAGGTGTGCCTAGAACCTTAAGCAAACGATGCCGTAAATTTGCCGACAGGTAAAGCATTCGCGGCGTCGGCAAAGCGCTGTATTGGCGGTAGATAGTCCTCAGGCCGATGTGGCCGGGGTGTCTCAAGCGTAAGCTTATGCTCATGCGTAATGTGTTCGCATCCTTGGCCACCTTTCTATCGCCTCGAAGCGTTTGATCAGAGCTTGGGTACTGCGAGTCCTCCTTCTTGTCCGATATCGTCAGGTTCGGGCCATCTGGTCGAGCGTACCGCCGCATGTAAGGATCTCTGACGAGCTCGAGGTGATCCTCCACAGCTCCGATGCGGTAATCGCCGACAACTGCGAGAAGGTCCTTCTTCCGCTGCAGCATATATCCTGTGTGGTCGGGCTGGGCACTACAAGATGCGATCGCGGCAGCGTGGCCATATTGGCGGCATTGCTGGCGGCGTCCAGGGAACGGGTTTGACGTAGAGCGGCTTAAGACTATGCGTGAAGGTCCTGGCAGGAATGTCGAAAGAAGCCATGACGCTGTAAGCGGGCAGTGTGGAATCTGCAAAGACGGTTTGCACGTCAAGGATACAGTGGGAGATGGTGTTGCTTGTATTCTGGCTGTGCGTGCGGACTTTCTGGATCGTTCGCGAGCCCGCAGCTTTGGTGTTGGTCCAACGGTGGGCGAGTTCGACGGTCGTTTCGAACGGATCGCGCCGCGTAGCGACCCGTCAAAGCCTCTGAGAGCTTTCATCAGTTGTCCGGCATCTCGATGGGGGGCTGCCAGCTTCCTCCCAGCTCGGCAATGTCGGATGTCTCGCGCGGCCGTGACGGAAAGGGGAAATCTTTGGTCGTCGAAGTGTTGAAGACTGGCTGTGCCGATGAGAGAGTTCGGGGAGATTTTACAAGGCGAATCTCTTACGTGCATGGACATGTCTTCATATATGCATGTGCAAGATATACGCATGGCTGTGACCAGGATGGTGGATCCTCCTGGCCGAAGCTCCAAATTTCATGGCCTAGTACGCGACGAAAGGTGCAAACCAGCAATTGATCTTGCTCCAAAGTCAGACTTCCTCGATCGGGTCACTCGTGAGTCAATTCTCTCAATTCGACAATCCCCCTCTCAACACTCGTCATATAGTTGCAATGGGCAAACAATTACGACCCGCCAGGGTTTTCCAGACTGTCACCGAAGAGCTGAGCCACCGAATCTTGCCGCAACATCAAGTCCAGGCGCCGCCATGGTACAAGGCCCTGAAGTCGATCCCCCCTACCGAGACAGTCATAAGGTCGCGCGCGACCATTCTCCAGGCGTCTACATCCAAGAGCAGGAAGCCTCGAAACCTATTCAAGCCCCAGCAGATCACCTACGAGGAGGATGAACTACGAACGATATTCTTTAAGGACCATCCTTGGGAGCTGGCGCGCCCAAGAGTCGTACTCGAACTCGATGGAAAGGATTGGCAACGATGTGATTGGAGTCGTGGCCTGCGGCAACCCGGACTGGCGATCAGCGGCGAAAGGTCAGGAAAAGGCCAACAAAGCAAATCGAGACGAGCATTCTCAAACAAGCTAACACATTCATTAGTGTCGTGCAAAGACAAATGTGGCTCATGAACAATACCGGTTTGCCACGCGATCAAGCCTACGACATAGCCAGGAAAGAGTTCTACGCTCTGGGCCAGGAAGAGGAGGTCGAGAAGAGGGTAGCTAGAGAAGAGGCCCGGTACGTCGGGGCTTACTTTGGCAAGAACAAGCTGGATATCGCGCAGGATCTCGAGGACAAGCAGTACGAGACTTGGAAGCAGTGGGCTCAATCCGAGGTTGTCCGGATAGAGCAAGATCGAAGTGCCTCCTATCACAAGTTTGGCAAGGGAGACGAAGCTACAGACGACGATGTTGCGGCGGTTGAGGCTGCTGAGAAGGAATAGATCCTCCCTTCATGGGTGTGTACGACTTGTTGTATTAATAACTACGTACGAGAGCAATGTACAATACGCTGCAGAAGCTCGGAGCATCTCAACTACTGGCCTGGTCTACCACTAGACATCCCGCGTTGGGCACGCCGTATCTCTGGGCTACGTACTCATGCTGAACGAGAAACACGTCTGCGATTTTGGTGTAGTAGAAGAGCTTTCCTGTGAGGCTCAGAGTCTTGATGCGCGCCCATGACTCTACATAGAAAATCTGCATGACGTCTTCTGGTGCGAGGAAGAAAAGTTTCAGAACGTGGGCAACAAGTCCTACGAAGAAACCTGTAGCCGGGCCATTCGTAATGATGATATCAGGATACTTTTGGCGACTTCGGGTACCGGCAAACGGTGAGTTGGTCAGGAGAGGAAATATCTCCAAGACAGACAACAGAGCAGTAAGAGGCGTGGAGAGTAGTGGCTGATGGACTTTGCGAGCCCGCGTAACGGTGTGTACATCGTATGTTCCCGCTTCAGACTCGCCGTGAGCATTCAGAAGCATTTCTTCAAAAGCCTTGACCTGTTTGAGCGACATTGCATCTCCGCTCGATACGAGATAACGGCGGTGAATGGATGAGAGCGGAGCGAAGCCGATTCCCAGCATGGCAAGCATCTCCTTCGTATGGCCACCTGAGCCCAGGACGACAAGAAGATATGCTCCAGTAAGGTTTGCAGTCTTGCTCACATGACTCCTCGCAGTTTCTAGGTTGATGGGGTGGTTTTCTCGGGTGTTATGAAGCTGGTTGTGGCGTACCTATATCGTTTAGTGCGTTCTCACTGAGAAGGATGAAATGATACGCACAAAAGCAAAGACTGCAGATACAGAGATCCCAGATACGGACAAGGCGGCAAAAATAATCCACGAGGAATAAAGAAGGGCACAAAGCCCGATGCAACAAAAAACTGCTACAGTCTTCAGCAGAAAAGACCCTGCTGACTTGGACGACATCGTTGGGCGGTGACGTCGCCGTTCGGCGGTTCTGCTGTGCTGTTGTCCCAGGCAATGAAGTGAACAGTTTGCTGCGTGCTACGAAGTCGTCTCCCGCAACACTCATCTGCTCTCTGGTATAAGGTAGGTAGGTACTTGTAGGTACCTACCTAGGTACTGTAGATCGGGTGAACGATGGGCACCAAGTGTTGCCTGTCATGTGATTGGTACACCAATTTCTGTAAGTCCTTGCCAATGGATAGGTAGGTGCGGGTGCCTGAACCGGGGGAAGGTGGTGCTTACTCATCACGTGATTGCAGTCCCACTCGCATACAAGGTGACATCACTCCGACCCCTGAGCTGGAGGTCCCAGCAATTAACAAGAAGCTCAGGTCAACCTACCAAAAAAGTTGCCTGACCGCCCGGCATAATTTCCAGAAGATCAGCAAGGAACACCAGGTCACTTGGAGTTCAACGTTTCTTCAACGTAAGACGGAGCTTTGCATAAATGGCATTTTGCCTGTCATGGTGCTACGGACTCCAAGTACGATGGCGAACCTCAGATCAAGGGGCAACCTGACGTGCTTTTACTGCGGCAAACGCTCCTCGGTCAAGTTCAACGGTATCATCAGTGACTTCCTCTGCTTGAAGTGCGACGCAACGAACTATCTCGACGAGGTGAGGGCATGACAAAAATTCCATACGTGTCATCATCTGATACAATAGCTTTCGAAGAATGGCGAAATCACCGATCCTCCTGTTGCATCAACAACCTCAACAACTCAGCCCACACAATACGCCATACCACGGTCGCAGTCCCCCGAGCCAGCGGCGCAAGCACAAAGCATATTCTGTTCGACATGTCTCAAGAACCAACATCTATTCACCGCATCCCTGGCGCAGTATCTCCCGGAAGATCCCGATCATCCCGAAAACGCGCAGCTCGAGAAGAATTACTACAAGTTTCGACGACGGCTCGAAGAGCGGTACCCGCAAATATGTACAGACTGTGAACCCAAGGTCCTGGCTCAGGTGCAGCATGCTGGCTATACTGCGCGGACCGATCATCTGCGGCGCATGATGGAGAGGAGTAGGCAGCGGCGCGCCTCGCCGAAACGATGGACCGCTCTCGACATGGCTGACACACTTGGACGGTGGTTTTGGCTCGCTGGGTTGACGGGCCAGTTGCTCTGGCACTTCGCGATAATGGCCGATGCGCTGTCGATCACGACAACTGGGCCTTTGCGTGACCCAGACGAGCTCCCACCAGCATGGACTTCCGTCCTCCGCGGGATGACAGATGCCCTCCCTCAATCTTCTGTGTTGGTACGCATGAGTTTCTGGGCCAACCTGCTCTGCATTTGGTGGAACCCAAAATTCGCCCAGGTCTTCCGCGGCTTCTCAAAACATATCCACGGTCTTCCCCAGTGGTATATTTTTCAAGGACTGGTCCTGCTAGTGCGATTTCTCGGTGTTAAGATAACCGGTTTTGCTGGTGCCGGAGAAGGTCGCACCAGCGCTCAAATCAGTCTACACGCGTTGCTTGCCTTTGTGGTTGTCGTTGTAAGTCTGCGACTTCCTTATTGATGACTTGGCTGACCATTTATGCCAGCTCTACGCACTCGCGCAAAAGTCAGTACATGTTGACACAACACCACTGTTCCCGTCTTCCTCGACGCCTTTGGCACTTTCGCCAGCCCGGCCTCGGGACATTGCGATAGAGACCGGCACAGGGACAAAGAGCCTGTCAAATCTACTCGATGACATACTCCGCGAGACGCCAAAAGCGTCGATGGTGATACCAACGAGGCCAAGTCCCTCGCCTAAAGAAGCCACCTCGCCTAACCCAGAGTTGCAACCAATTTCTGGGATCAGCTCCCTTGGCCTTTCTACTGCCGCCGCTCCTGTGCAATACTCGGAAGAGATGGAATGGTCTCCCACGCAGTCTAAGCATCGTGCTTTCAATGACTTTGGTACACCTGGACGCCAAAGCCAAGCATTTGGCGACTCTCCCACGAACCCCTCGGCTAGTCCATTCTGGTACAAGGTGCCGCCCGCGCCGACAACTCCAGCGGAAAGACTGCGCAAGGCTTCCAACCCTATTCTCAGGAGCAAGCCTGTAGGGCCAGAAGCTGTGTTCTTCCCGACGAACAGTCAGCCGTTGAACACAGGCGCTCGCACAAGTGATAGCAACAAGTCGAAGCGCAAGGTGTCTTTCGCGCAACCATCATTCTTTGCTTCGCCCAAGTCCAATTCCAGCGATCCACGGAGCACGCTGGCTGACATGTTAGGTTCGAGCTTCAACCTCAGCCAGGACGGAGACTCCGACCAAGACAGTGCAAACAGGGAGAGACCAGAAATAGAGATGAAGATGATTCGGCCGCTGAGGAACCCTGCAGCTCGCGACCGTTTCATAGATATATTTACCCTAGGCAGCCTTATCGCATCCTGGCTGCATGTAACGTCGGCACCGCACACCTACACCTGGGATGTGATGCTCGGTTCCATGGCGCTCAGTGTCGCTGTCGCTCTGCACCTGACCAGCGACGCATTTTATGGGTTCCGAATCGGCCAGATACCTCGCCAGCTTGCCATGGCCAACTCGATTTTGGGCGTTGCTGAGGTGGCGGCAGCTTGCATACTGTCATTTCAGGTTTGGGCTACGCCGCGAGGCGATGAACGCGAGGCGTTCGGCGTGCAAGGTCTGGTGGTGATGAGTCTGATGCTCTGCCATGGGCTGGTCAACATGGCAGTCTAGAGGACGACGCCGTAGTGAGTGGATTTGTAGGCGTTATAGGAGACGGGGACTGCTAGGGGGGGTGTCATTGGATTAGTTGGGTATAACATTGACAAAACGAAAAGGTACCTAGAGTGGTACATACTCTTTCGCTCAAAACTCAAGTTGTGGCCTGGCGGTCTCATATGAGGACAGGATGGGAATTGCCGATGAAGAGGCTACGATAACGATCAATAATCAAAACACACATCATCCGTGGTTATAGCTACTGCATTCATAATGTACCGATTATCGGCACGTAAACGGCTGGCATGTGTACCGAGCCTACAGGCGTATGAACGTGATTGAAATCGTTTTGCGATACTCGACGGGGTAAAAAGCCAGGGGAGGGTGTGACAATCGAACGCGTTCATCTCTCAAGCATTCTCTGCATCGCTCGTTCCGGACAGGCACCATAGATGTGTTTTTGTTCCATGGATCATCGAATCCGTTTTCAGGCGTGAGCAGCCAACAACCAGGGTACTTTTTAGGACTATTTTGTACGACTCGTGCTATCGAGGATCTGTCCCGATTCATCACTCACAACAGGCATGCTGAAACGACAGTTGGAGTTTTGGGCTGAATGGTGCTAGGTGTACTGTATCTCTTCGTGTAAGGGGTACGCAGTTCCCTTCGGGGGTCCAGGGACGTTGGTGTGAGTGGGTGATAAACAGCGGCCGATCAGGGGCTATGGTCCAGTGAGAGCCGCGACGTCGCGTTCTGGGGGCGAGAGGATCACCGCAGCCAGCCACTCAATCCACTCAGAGAGTGTCACGCTGGCTTTGTTGCTGCACACTGGCACCAGTCACACACCAGCAGATGCTTAGAGAGAGGCACGACTGCGTCAATAGGCTGATACAGGCGAGGCAGATCAGACCAGATCAGACACCCCCCCTGGCCCGGACGAATCGACCACGACGCGAGGGAGAGGTCTTCAAGGCATCAGGCGCACTCGAAGCAGGGCTGACGAAGGGCAAGGCATGGCGCGGATCTTTGCAGCCGGCACGCTGTTGGAACGCTGCTGTTGGTGATCGACGATGGACATGAGACAAGCATGTCTGCAGTGCTCAGGGTTGTGGGGATCACCACATCGGCCTTCGTAAGCAGAGCGCCTAGCAAAATGCAACTGGCAACGGCCTCCCTGCTAGGGACTACTAGCAGGCGCCTTGGCTGCTTCAATGGTTCGACCATCGCCTCGGAAAGACCGGCACAAGGTTCGACGGCGGGAGGTTTGTTCAGGTAGCAATAACACCATCCGTCTACACGGCTTGAGAACTTGGTGGGCGTCATCCGTGCGGCGTTTGGAGGATGTGAGTTATTTGGAGGAGCAGATATTGTAGCGACTAATAAGCTTCTTGTGAACGATGCTTTTGGCGTACGACAGGAGATGATGGCAAGCTTCCGCCTTCCCAACAACAGTGACGAGGTGTTCGCTCCGCCGGCTGTCGTAGCAGCCGTAGTGGCTAAGGTTCTTACCTGCACAGGTACCTGCCACGCAAGGTAGAGCGAACGCAGGCGTGACGGGGCGCTGGAACCCCCACATCGATCCAGGGCAAGCACGAGCCACCGTGCAGGAGAAAATTACCACACAAACATCACTGAGAGTGACTCTCCCCCACTCCCCACCTCACTGCAATCCACCCCAAAAGGCTACTGCGAAAAAAACGCCGCGGCCACACCGCGAACACGCGCCTAGGTCAAGCGCCCCCAATTGCCAGGGTGTAGGCACGGCCGAACGATGGCTGCAGACAGGACCCGCTTAATTCTCATCTCTCCCACCTTGCCCTTCTTGCCGTCGCTGGCTATTCCTCGTCCCCAGCATCGACGACATACACTTCCGCAGACGCCGTGAGGGTCAGCCGCTCGCCGTTTATTTCACTTCCCTCACACCGAAACGCCTCTTCGTACGTCTTTGAAGCACCGCATTTTCTTTTCTTCTGTCGGGGGACTGGAGGAAACGCATCGAGCATCGACTAAATCCCATAAGACACTCGACAAGATGGATTACAATCTCCAACTTGCCTCCAGCTGCGTCTGCGCTGTTCGCCTGTAATGCTACGCGAACGAAGAGAGACCAAGCAACTTCCAACGTCTTTCTCGCTGGCCTCCTGCTGGATCCATTCAGCACATCGATTATTCCTCCTACGAACGTACATCGTCCTCACACGACCACTTGCCTCATTTAACTTGTTGCACCCGGCATCGTGTCACGCCACCACGCCATTTTCTGACCATCAGGCTCCTCATCTCACCACTTACTCGATCACAGCAACCTACCAACACGATATTCCTCAACCATTGTCCAGGATCAAGAATGGCTTCGAAACGCAGTGCGAGAACGTTTGAGGGAGACGGTCACCACGTCACCGAGAACGAGACTCGTCGGGCACACACAAGGACGAAGGAGGAAGACGCAGCGGCCAAGGACACCCTCGAGAAGCGATCCAACTACAAGACCCTATCTCGGCGTGGGTCTGACGAATCTTCTCACCCCCTTGATACTGCTGTTGAGACGTCCAAGAACATGACTGGGGTGACATGCGAGAGCGCGGTGCAGGATCTCGAGGCCCAATGCGAACTATCTCGCTGTGTCCGCCACTCTGCACATGCCGATCTTCGCCCAGCCCAGCCCCTTGTACCTACGGACCTGACTTTCAAGCGGCATGTACCTGAAAAGGGTCGTCCAGTGAACTTCGGTATTGTGGTGCCTGGTGTGTACCGCAGCAGCTACCCGAAGCCCGAAGACTTCGGCTTTGTCAAGAACCTCGGTCTTCGCACCATTGTGTAGGACCACGCCCCCAAAATGTACATTATAGACCCAGCCAAAGCTGACAGGCGACACAGAACGCTGGGACGAAGGGATGAACCTGACGAGTTCTATGCCAACTTTTTGGCTTCAAACTCTATCCGACATCACATCATTGAAATGAAGGGGACCAAAAAGCAGAGCATTCCTCTTATGACGATGAGAGACATCCTGCGAATCGTTCTAGACAAGCAACAGTATCCATTGATGATTCACTGCAATCATGGAAAGGTAGGGTTGCGTTGAATGAAACCATTATAATCCCATATTCATGCTGACGTCCATCTAGCATCGCACTGGATGCGTAGTCGCTGTGGTACGGAAGCTCTCAGGCTGGGACGTGAGCAACGTTTTGGATGAGTACAGGTCCTTTGCGGAGCCAAAGGTACGCGATTGTGACATTGCTTACATCACCAACTTTGCCGTCGACGATCTTTCAAATCTCCACGTACACGCCGTCAGTATGCGATACAGGGTGCGGAATTTCTTTCGCGCACGTTTTCGCGTTTTGCGTGTTGGTGCTCTGGACGGTCTCGGGCAGCAGAATTTCAACATCGGCAAGGAACGTCACACCGCTCAAGTGATGAGTATGCTGCCTTTCGGCCAGTGCCAAGCTACACCACCTCGGGCGAGTCCGCCGGTTGCTTTCTGGAAGGTTTTATGGAGGCACGAACGATTCGTTCAATGTGCGACGATAGAGAGACCAGGCGACTGATCAAGAGCTGAGATGTCTCCGAACGGCGTTTGTAGGGTTGGAGAGGATGCTCGCCCATTTTGCGTACTCGTACCCTTAGCATTCTGTTTGTACAGTTCATTGTTGAGACGGTCTCGCAAGTAACACATTGAATTCAGCCCCAACATGATACAATTTGCGCCATGACGTGCTTGTTGTCTCCACCGATTTTTTTCGTCGACAAATATAAGAGTCCATTACCCTCCCTCCATCGGCTGCAGAATTCCAACCAACGCCGCACCTTGCAATATTTCTACATCGTCACACAAAAGCACGTGGAGGATATTCCGCGACAGGTCGTCGCTAGTCACCTGTTACTCGGCCCAGCGATTGCGCTCCTTCCGCGCGATCTCGTCGATCTTGCGGTTGCCTCCTGCGTAGGCGAACCCACCAGCGACACAATTTGCAAGACCAAGCGACAGAGCGCCAGCTCGCACAACACCGCGGGCCGAGAATTTGCTGCGAATGGGCTGCCGCCGCCGTAGCGCTAGGAGGGTATAAATGCCGGACCACGCGCAGGTGAGGCCAGCAGCGTCGGTGGGGAAGCCGGCTAGAGAGACGTAAGAGCTGAAAAGCAGAGCTGGCGCTATCAGAAGGGGTAGTGGTTGAACTGGCTTGCCGTGAAGGGCGGCAATGAGGATGGCATGGATCGCGGGCGGCATACAGGACGCTAGAGAAGTCAGCTTTAAACCGCCCTTGACGGAGAGGAAATGGAGAGACCAACTGCCCCAGTTCGTTAACTTTTGTGGCAGCGTGGCCGCGCCCGGTGTGGTGCCAGGCTCCTCCTGTGGTGATGACATGGCTGCTTTCTGCGACGGCCAAACTGATGATGCCAGGAATGACCCCAGACGTTGATGTCTGGTTGGGGTGACGAAGGTGACGCTCGCTGCATGGATGGTGACTAAGCAGGCCAGAACAGGCGATTCCAAGGGTCTGGTCAGACCAGCCAAGCACGTGCGGTTGCCGCCATGTCAATGTCAATCTAGTCGAGTCTTTGCCTCGACATACCTGTTCGCAAGCACGAGCTGACCAGCCCGCGGCATCCCGGTTTTCTGTCGCAACTGGTATACACCAAATTTGAGTCCAAAACTCGATCGCTTCTGGTGTCTAGGTTCACTGGATCTCGACGGACACGAGTAAACAATCCGAGCGACCTCACTCCATTGTGGGAAAGATTTGTGAAGAAGCCACCTACGACCTCTTGTCCAGGAATTGCTAGCCTTTGCAACCCCGCGATTCATTCCACCCTACATCATCATAGACCACCCGCCGAATCGCACACCACATACGTCGACATATCCGCTTAGCATATTCTCCGAATTGCACGAAATGTCGAGCGCAAAGGCGTCCGGCGCGGACGCCGGCAGCAGCAATGCCCGCAGTCGAGAACATCAGCAGGGAAACCAGGGCCGCTCCTATACCGTCGAACAAAAAGCTGCCGTCATCCGCATCCGCCAGTGCTCGCCGACGGCGTTCTACGATATTCTTGGCCTCGAAGAGGTGAAGAAAACTGTGACCGACAGCGAAGTAAAGAAGGCGTATCGCAAGCTATCGCTCCTAACGCACCCCGACAAGAACGGTCACGAACACGCCGACGAGGCCTTCAAGATGGTGAGCCGCGCTTTTGGCGTGCTCGGCGACAAGGAGAAGAGGGAACGCTTCGACAGATCTGGTGTAGACCCTGACTCACGTTTCGGCCAGGCGCAGGCCCAAAATCCTTTCAGCGGATTCGCGAGCAGAGGCGGCGGTGGCGCACCAGGCGGTGGCGGCTTCGGTGGAGGTTTCCAGGGCGAGGAGATGACGCCTGAGGAGATGTTTCAACGGTTCTTTGGAGGAGGTGGTGGCTTCGGCGGGTTCGGCGGCGGTCCATTCGGTGGTAAGCAAGCCCGGCTGTGACAACTGGCCGGTTACATTGCTGATGACTTCCTAGGCTTCGACACGGGGCCGCAATTTGCCTTCAACTTTGGCGGTGGACCAGGCTTCCGAGTACATCAATTCGGCGGCGGCCGACCACGGAGACGACCAAGGGAAGGGCAGCAGGGACAGGCAGAAGGCGGTTTATCACCTCTGCTCGGCATGCTTCCCCTGTTGCTCTTTTTCGTCTTCCCAATCCTCAGCGGTCTCTTCTCCGGCGACTCGGGCCGATCATCCACTCCTCAGATGCACTTTGATACCCCCTCACCACCATACACCATGCAGCGAGAGACTTCCAACTCCAAGGTACCGTACTTTGTCAATCCTGTGGATGTCGAGTCGTACTCGAAGAATAAGCTCAGCCAACTGGACCGGTCAGCCGAGGCGACACTGGTCAGGACCCTGCAATTTCAATGCGAGAACGAGATGAATCACAAGAGGAGAATGTATGATGCGGCTCAGGGTTGGTTCTTCCAGGATCCAGTCAAGATGCAGGAAGCCACAGCTTACGCCACGCCCTCATGCGATCGGGCCAAGAAATTGGGACTGCTACGGTGATTGCATACAGGAGGACTAAGAGAGCTGGTCCGAAACTTCTCTCTGTGTTGTTGATTTTTCTGGTTGGATGTTTTGCGTCTGGCGTTGGGGCATGAAGTAGTTGCATGGCATAATGGTAGTGGTATTTTCATGCCCTTGTGTTTGTCGAGTCAGGCGGACAGGGACGGTATTTCCTACGCTCTGATATCGAGATGGCTTAGACAACAACCTAAACCTCTCCGCCGCGGATCAAACTCCTCGTACACATGAAGAGTAATGAGACTGGTCACGCTATTACCGTAGTAGTTCTGGCACACAGCAGCACCGTTCGACGGGGCAGCACTCTCGTGATACTGAGATTTGAGGGCCGCACCTTCATGCATGCGGTTGGGATACCCAAGAAAGAGTGCGCCTATAATTCGCGGTCCGGCCACTGCCTGCGTGCCTCTTGATATCCAGGATGGGCGGTGTCCTACCCGGCAATTCTTCATTCGATCGTGTGTACGAGTGATACGCGGTAATCAGTGTCAGAAGCCAGTCTCTGTGGTGCTGCACTTCGAAGAGGTGGCTTGTAGATGAGAGTGATTCCACTCCCAAGTGTGTCAGGTCGGAACATATGATCTAGTTACATTTGATGGCACGCTACTCACACAAGTATGAGAGTACGGCTCAGTCTCCCAATCTTTCCACGCATCACTGACCGATTTATTACAGACCTCTTTACTCAATTGTAACTCAGATACTGCAGGGATCTTGATCATTCAATTCGAGTTGATCGTGAAGTGAGAGCTTTTGTTGCTTTCATGTTGAGTGGCCTACGTGACCGTATCAATATATGGGTGATCTGATGGTTCTTTCTGAACACCGCCTGAAGCGTAAGTTCTGAGGTGGTCAATTCATTAAGTTGTCATTTTGGCTGCTTAACCTCCAGCTGTTTGCATACTTGTGAGATGTTGATCATCGTCATTGGAGAAGTCGTTCACTTTCGTCTTGCCTTGGAGATACGTCAACCAAGGCCTGATGACATTGCGTGACAACTACAGAACCGAACTCGTTAACGAGTGAGAAAGCTTAAGAGCTTTGACAGTAATGGCTGATACGGTAGGAATAAAAGGTGGCGCCGATTATACTAACATAAGTATTTGTCTGAGCAACAAACCTCCGTCGGAGAAGATGAGGATGCTGCAAGTTTCCGTCAAGTTTTGAGGCTGTAGTGGTTTGGAACTAGACATCCTTTCATTGTGAACACTTACCGCTTTCCCTTCTCCTCTCTTTTTAGATCCTTTTAGAGGAAAACTTCTGAATTGCCATCCTCGGCCTCCCGTGTCAGAACACTGCAGATTGTCTGCACAGCATAGGATTGGAAAATTAATCAACGTACGATGAAACCATAACAAGCAGATCATGGTATGAGGAAAACAGATTGATGGCTTATCTTGAAACACTTGTCGACCGTAAAAACTTGTACATGTGAGCACGGTACTAGCGCCAGAGTGAATTCTGCGACGGATGTGGTTGACTGCATCAGAGAAACAGATGATGGCTAAGCATTCGGGGTCCGTTGCGGATGTGCCCTGTTGCGGGACATTGGCATCATGCCTAGAGTAGCATGGGGAACCGGGAGCTCCAAGCTCGCTGGATCAGGAGAACCAGCATTGGAGTAGAGACCCACTGGATGGATCTATACGAGCTCTCATGATCGTGTCATGTTCTGCATCGCCTCTTCAGTTCCTGCGATGGTTGCAATACTAGTAAGGCAGGTCCAAGTGCTGTGAAGGCCCAAAGACCTGAGGCTTGAGGCTTTTTCCCATAGTGAGGGGGGACTAAGAACGTTCTGGGGCAATGGGGGTTCATACCGACGAGTCATGCGTGCACCAACAAGATGGCTATACATCACCGCCGGCTCAGTCTAAGTTGTGGAACCAGCAACCTCCTGATACAAGCCACAGCTTGGAAAGTGAGAGGAACGCATCGCCATTTGCCCAGCACGCCACTACAACCGGCGTTGTCTTACCTCAAAAGGCCTGTCAGAGCCCAGCACGGAGGGGTCCGATGGGGCCCGATAAGATCGACATGATCTCTACCCCGGAGAGCTTACTACAAGTGGAAGTTGCAATTGCCGAAGCTAGATCTCTTCTCGGAAGGTGCCAACCGGCCCGCAACGGATGAGGCAGCTGTGACATGCCGGCAAATGCGAGCGAAGCAGCTTGATTCCTGGAGCAACGGACGCGGCCGATATCGCCAAGCATAAATACTGCTCTGAAGAGACGTCAGCACGACTGGGAAGAAGGGCTCTCCTTACTCTCATCCCATCGGCTTCGAGGCATCATCGCAATCATGGTCCGAACCACTACTCTGTTCGCCGTCGGCGCCTTCCTGCTGCAAACCTCTCAGGCTTGCCGTGCCACGAAGGAGTACAAGTTTGGCGACGCCAACTCTCTCAACACGGAAGAGTTGGATGAGCACCAGCTCGATGGCCTCCGCCTTTTGAAGACATCGGAGGAAGATGCCGGAACCTGGGTTACTGAGAAGGAGAAGATTGAGAACTACATGCTCAAGCACGTCCACTTTATGGATGTCACCGAGACTCAGGTGAGTTTCATCATGAGTATACATGGCGCACCCGGACTGACATGACGAATCAAGGAACTCGAAGAGCTCGGAACCCTCCGCCGTCGTGCTCTGACCAAGCGTCAGACGGCGTACCCTGCTCCTAGTAAACAGGCGACAGCGAATCCCATCATCGCCAGGCTTGTGCAGAGCAACATCCAGAGCACCATCACTGGTCTCGCCAACATCTTCAACAGATACTACAGGGGCACCTACGCGCCGACCAGCGCAACCTACATGCTGAACGCTGTCAGGTCCGCCGCCTCGTCCAACACTGCCATCACGGTCAGACAGTTCACGCACTCTTTCAACCAGCCCAGTGTCATTGCTACGATTCCGGGTACCTCCACAGACAGGGTCGTTGTGTGCGCTCACTACGACAGCATCAACTCGCAGAGTGTGACAGGCCGGGCCCCTGGTGCTGACGACAACGCTTCCGTAAGTGGCCCCCTCGTACCTTTTTTGCAGAGTGGTATAATTAACAGTGAAAACCAGGGCGTTGCCACCATCCTTGAGGCCCTCCGCGTCATGGCCGTTGCCAAGTACGCCCCGGGCAACACCCTCGAGTTCCACTTCTACGGCGGTGAGGAGGGTGGTCTGCTCGGCGCCCGTGACGTCTTCAACAACTATGCTGCGAACAACGTCAACGTCCTCGCTGTGGTCAACCAGGACATGACTGGCTATTCCGACAACAACGTCATTGCCGTCTACCAGGACTTTGTGAGTTCGAGATCGCTAGACACGGAGATGAGATACTAATGCTGTCCCAGGTTGACACCAGCCTCACTGCCTACATGCAGCGCCTGGTGCCCGTCTACACCTCGCTTCCCGTCGTTACCGACCGTTGCGGATACGGATGCTCGGACCAGTGAGTTCGAGGCTCCCCCATGTTCCTGACAATTGTGTCATGCTAACGGAAGTGACAGCGCTGCCGCTCGTGCTGCCGGCTACCCTGCGGCCTACGTTTGCGCCGATACCATGACGAGCTCCAGCCCTTACATCCACACCACCTCCGACACTGCCCAGACCAGGTTCTACGCTCACGCCCTGCAGCACAGCAGACTGACCGTCGGCTTCCTGGTCGAGGCTTCGTTCTGGTAAGAGGTTGATGGGAGAATGGACCATGAGTGAAAAAGGTTGATGGGTCGGTGGGTATTGTGTTTGGTGATCAGCGGGCGTGTGGCGAGCATACTATCATCAAGGTGCCTTCAAACGAATAGCTGGGTTGGTGGTTGTGGGAATGCGGAAAACAGTGATGCATTATTGACTTGAAGTATTGCTAGCTTGCCATTATCGAGCATCGTCGTGAGTTGACGTCATGAAATCATACATCCAGAGCGACCAGCTGTCCAAGCACCAACGCCCCGTATTGAAACCTGCTGAACGCACATCTTGATTCGACCTTCCTCTTCTAGTAGATAGCCCGCCTCACATGAGCACACAATCTCGTTCGCGACTCCCGTTCGGGCTTGAGACGACGCCCCCAGGAGGCATAGGCCGGCCTCGCCCTTGTCCCATCATCATAGGCCGCTGTCCGTTTGGGCCTTGACCCTGAGCGCTGACATTGCTGTTCTGTTGAGAAAGACTTTGGTTGCTTGCGGGGTGACTTGGGTGGCCAGGTGGTGGCATGTACGGCGTCGCACTCTGTGCCTGCTCATATGTCGCGGTGCGTCCTCGGCGCCTTCGTCCACTGGCCGTGACACCGGCGCTCTGCGCTGCGGGACGACAGGGGGAACGAGTGGCCGGACTTGCTGAGGCGATGAGGGGCCCCACGGCGCTAGGGCGCCGTGCACCAGATGAAGTGGCCGCATTGCTGGAGCCGCGCGGACTGACAAGAGACGAGTTGCCTCCGCCGCGACCTCGGTTGCCACCTGGGGTTCCCCGCCCTCTACCGGCTCCGACTCCTGCGCCAGTGCTGCTCACCGGTCCCGTTTGTCGGGCTTGTTGCTCGATATACTGTTCGCTCAGCACCCTCTCCCGGTCTCGGCGCGCCTGCTCTGAGCGGTGGCGTTCGTTTTCTTCCTCCTGTAGTTGTAAGGCGAGCGCAAGGTCGTGATCCTCCTGTTCGGTGTCGGCCCCTTCGACAGCCTGCGAATTTGAGCCTTGTCTACCGTGCCCCGTTGACGATGTCCAGTCACCGCCTTGACTGCCAGCAGACGTGCTCGCACCAGACGGACCGGGGGTATCGTACCACGGCGTCTCGTTCCCGCCGACCGACAAACTGTCACGATGATTACTCGCGCCTCCAACGACACGAAAGTCTCCGGAGAGAAATTCGGAGGTCAAACCATTGATATCGGTCAAAGATTCCCACACTACCTCTGCGTGGGTTGCGTAACCGGCGTCTGTGACAAGGCTGAGAAGCTGCAGTGTCTGTGGGTGGCGGTACAGCGTGGAGAAATGATCGTTTCGAAACAGAATAGCGACCATGCCAGGCTTCATGGCCTTTGTAACCACGTCGAGCCCCCAGGACGTGAGCTGAGTGGCCGATGTCTCAAGAAACGCCTTGATCGAGAATATGTCCTGATAGAGCTGCTGTTCATCTTCTGTCAACCCGTCCCCCTCAAGCTTCATCTCAAGCTCCTCCTCTCGAAAGAGGATGTTTTGCGTATCTTCGTACGATACTGCTTGCCGGGCGAATGATTCACAGACTGGGTCATCGCTTTCCCGGCAGCCAACCATGGATAAGTGGGATCGAGAAAGCTGCATACAAGGACATCTCGACTGTGTCTTCAAAGGTGCCCGGCATGCTGTCGCTGCGCTCGGTGGGGTGTAGATGAGTGAGTGAGGTACGCTTAAAAGCCTGGACCACCTTTGGATCAGGGACAAATCGGGGGTTCACGTTCATGCCTGTATGCAGGCCTTTGAGGAAAGCATAGAGTTCGCCGACGTCAGGCAATGAACTGCCCTCTTCGGTCCGTCGCGATGACATGAGCTCGTCAAACACAGCATCTAGCAAGAGTCCGAGGCTGATTTGCTCCCTCGAGCGGAGGACTTGAACCAATGCCGTGTCCGTGAGCTCAGCGGGGGTGGTGAGCGTAAGCGCATTCACGAGAGCCACGAGCGGGCATGGTCCGTTTTCGTTTTGCACGAGAATAGGTGAAGTGCGCGACTTCGCGACGGCCTTGTGATCGTGCCAATTGATGTTTTTGATCTGGTACGTTTCAGCCTTGCCATCCACGGGGCGAGGCGAGTGTCGTGGCGGAATTGGCTGTGTCGGCCGGCGTGGAGGGAGAGCAGGTGCCTCGTCCTGGATGTTGTCGGTGCTGGGTGGATTGTGTGTTTTGTTCTTGGATGTATCGTCTGCCGAGAGACTTGTGTCGCGATCGATCAGGCTCCAGTCGTCAATGGCAGCGTCGCTACTACTCGGCTGGGTCATGACAGGTGCCTTGACATTCTTGCTCTGAGAAAGCCCATCGTCCCATACATTTCGATCCTCGGCAAGCGCTTTGCTAGCTTCCGGGGAGACAGGGGGCGATTGCAAGAGCTGCTGTTCAGGTTCCTCGTCCCAAGCTGGGGACTCGGGAGCGGAAGATATGGAGATCAGCGCGGGAGACGTCGAGATGGGTGGCACTGGAGGCTTGGGAGAAGGCTCGCGTTGCCATGGGTCGCTTTCGGCAGGCTGGCCCAAGTCGGCGGGAAACGGCGGTGGTAAGGGCGCGGTAGTAACATTGTTCGATGTCGAGGCGGCAGCATGTGGGCTCTTGCTTGATTCATCCAAAGCGGGCTGCCATGGATTGGTATTCGCTTCGCCCAGGCTCAAGTCGGCAAAAGCCGGCGTTGGAGGAAGCGGCGGGGGCTGTGACGATTGGCCAACAGCATGACTGGAACTGTTTTGTGGTAGTTCTCGCCGCTTGAATGGATTTGTCTCGGATCGATTCGTATCGGATCGTGAGGGTGATGTGGAGGGCTGGACTTCGGTGGACGGACGGTGGCCGGGTGTCAAGGATTCGGGAATGCCGGGGGGCCGCGTGGAGGGTTCGACAATGGATGGTATTTGTGGGTTTGCATCCTCCCAGGCATTCTCTTCGCGGTCCGCTGGCGCTTGGTCTGGGTGATTGGCGCCTCCAGGACGGAGCGAATAGGGTATTTCGTACGGTGGGCTCACGTCTGAGGACTGCCCGGGGATGTTGAGGGAGGTCGTCGCGGCATTGTCAGGAAGAGGTTTACGTTCGACCATGGCGGCAAGGCTGATCACAGTACGAGTCAGCATATCTGTGTGGACCACGGTATCCTCCTTGCCATCTAAGGCATGAGGGGGGTTGCCAGGCTTGGGTGTCGAGTTACCTTTGGTCTTTGGTCGTTGCTGAGAGGGAAATGATCCGGGCGAAGTCGTCGTAAGGAATGGTAACAGTTGGTTGCAACAAAGATTCTTTTTAGTAAACGGCAGCACCTGTCGAGCTGTCGTCATACAAGGGACCAGCTACGACGCGAACGCTGTAAGCTGTACGCGGACTCCGTGAGGTGGCGGTGCCAGCAAGCTGGCGGAGGCGGCTGAGGTCTGGCAGTCCCAGGGTCAGATGTCACTGGGTTGGAGGCTGGTGGGGAGTAGGGACCCTCGGCGCGCCTACCTATGCAGAGTCGGTAGTATGTGGGTGCTATAGGGACCAAAATGAGGGGCATCCCAGGCCGGACCAGGCAGCAGGATTGGAGGGCGAGAAAGGCGGGATACTGCCTGGAGCTGGCTTGACTGGCAATGGTAACTCTGGGTGATTCGAGCGTCAACACAGCACTTGGGTGCGGGAATCTGCTGCGCTCCAGCCCCGAAGATCTCACTCTCAAAACGGAGGCGAATCAGTCCATGTAATGGTTGCCATTCCAGGTAAGAGATGGCGATCTGGTGAAAGAAATACCTGGTCTGGGGGTGCGATGACAGTACACCCACCAACCGATCAACCAACCTTTCCAATAACCGCCGCCGTTGACCCGGCCCACTCCACATTAGCATCAGCCACAGCATGACGTACTAGTAGTGGACAGGAGCTAATTGCACGTGATGCACCGACTGCGGTCAAGCTCCGGATGCGTGGGCATACATACCCGTGGGTGGATTGGAGGGGGGGCAAGGAGGCCTACACCGAGGGGCTACACCGACATGAAAAAGACCTACCTTCAGCATATCTTACTCCTGTGCAAGGGACTCGGGGTGCGCTGTTATGGAATCTTGTTGGATGAAGTGGCGCATCCCATTTTCAATCATGGTCTTTTATCCTCAAATAAGCTTCCTTGCGAAATGAACCATTGTCAAGTGACCCAGGCCCACTCTTGGACCTGGCACTGACCGCCTCACCGTGCGTGTCTCTGCTGTTGACATCAACAGCATCGACAGTGACGGGTCCTACGGCGTCACCTCCTCCCTCATCCAGAGTCAACCGCGTCGAGTCATTTTTCAACTATTCACTCGTTCTTCCTGATATTTAACCGCGGTACATCATCATGTCTCTCATTGAGAATTGGCTTCCTCCGACGAGAGAGAATTGGAAGACCATTCTGAGCGTTTGGCAAATCTCGTACCCAATCGTGAGTCGTACAATGGAGAGCCATGATTTGGATTCATTACAACATGAGCTCACTTCTGCCTGCAGCTCGGTTCTCTACAGTACCTCATCTCATGGTATGGTATGGGCAAGACATCGGTAAAAAGCCGTGTCAACCTGCCCGGCCGCGTTGCGTGGTTCCTCATGGAGATCCCAGGCTTCTCCATCCTACTTTATGTCATGAGAACGCTGCCCGGCCTCTCCGGCATCACGGACCTTCCGTGGCAGAACAAAGTGCTTGCCGGTCTTTTTGTGCGTCGAACCCCCTTGGCTGCGGTGGCGCACTTGTCGCTGACGCTCTCTCTCTCATTCTCAGGTCATTCACTACTCATATCGCGCAGTGATTTTCCCCTTCATCCAGCCGTCCATGTCTCCAATCCATCCGCTCGTCGCCATACTCGCCACGAGCTTCCAGCTCGTCAACGGCACCTGCATAGGCGCCTACCTGGCGGCGTACGGGCCGACGACTGAGGCGCAGTGGTCCGCCGCCCTCGCGCCGTTTGGCACCGCGCAGTTCGTCGCTGGCATCGCCGTCTTCTACTGCGGCCTCGTCGGCAACTACTTTCACGATGAGGAGCTGCGCGAGATCCGCCGCGTAGAGCAGCGGCGACATGAACGCGTCGCCCGCGACAAGCAGCAGAACGGAGACGCCCGACCGACTGTCGACAAGCACTACCGTGTGCCCAACACCTTGTTGTTCAGGTACATGCTGTACCCTCACTATCTTTGCGAGTGGATTGAGTGGTTCGGTTTCTGGATGGCCTCCGGCTGGTCCGTGCCTGCACGTGCTTTCCTCATCAATGAGATTGCCGCCATGCTTCCGAGAGCCATCAAGGGACGAAAGTGGTACGCCGAGCAGTTTGGAGAAGACAAGATTCGGAAGAAGTGGGCAGTTCTTCCGGGGCTCTACTAACAAATTTGAATGTCAGCTGCCGAATCTGGAGGTCCTGGACGAGACGTGGTGAGGGGCTCCACGCATACATCCACTCGCTTGGGTCAAGTTTTGAACCGTTCTGCATGACCAAGACCGGTGAATAAGAACGACCCAGAGTCACATCTTGCGGAACGTCATGTAAAGCATGCTCAAGCTGTTGTGAAAGTTCTGGTATTATTTCGCTATCATATGAACCATTGTACTCCCAGAAAGACCCCAAACGCCCAATGAATACCCTTCGCTCGAAGGTCTGATAAGAGACTGTCATGGGGCATCTTTTAGCTTGTGCGCGTCACCTTGCCGCCGAGAACACTGGTGCAGGTTACGGAGGTAGGCTGCTTGATGCTCCGTGCGTTATAGTTCCACACACCGTTCGCGCCAGCAGTCATGGTGACACCGTTCGTGGGGCCATTTCTGTTGGTGTAGCTCAGCTTCATGGCAACCTTGGAATCGGTGCTGCTGGACCGGCATGAGATGGTCAGAGTGCCGCCACCGGAAGAAATCCAGGTGAAGGTCGGCATAGTAACTACATCGTTGGTGGTTGCGGGAGGGGTAGTCGCCCCGCCACCAGTAGTGCCTCCGCCAGTAGTGCCTCCGCCGGTGGTGCCGCCGCCGGTGGTGCCGCCACCGGTTGCGGGAGGCTCCTCTGTGGCAGGGGGCGGGCACTTGGTCGGATCAGATACAGTGACACCGGACTGGGGGAATGGATTGAGCGGTCCCCAAAGGTTGTTCTTGTCGTCGTAGCCCAGGCCCTTGGTGAGAGTAGGGAAGCTACGGTAGTTGTTGGGGAACGGAGCGAGGCCCGGGGTCGTGGCCTCGGCCTGGATCCACTCAGACACAGGCATGACGTACTGACCTGCCAGGATGCCGTTCTTGGTTTTGCGCGTGCCCGTGCCGGCGACGATGCGGTACTCGCGCGTGTACTCTTGGGTTTGCGTTGCCTTGACACGGTAATCAAATTTGTTACGGGCGGAACCAGCAATCATACTGGTGGCGGCGACCTCGCGATCTGTGATCTTGCCAGTGCAAGGATCCACGTCCATGGCATAGACCTTGATGGGGTTGACATTGGCAGAGCCGTCAGAAGTGACTCCGATGAACTATTCTTGTCAGTTGAGGAGCTCATGATGACAGGTGCTAGAGGCCTACCCTGATCTGAGCTGTCTCTTGGTCGCCGTTGCTGGAGAAGACGCCAATAATAGCATCCTCCATGCGAATGTAGGTAGGAACTCCAGTGGTGGTGATCTGCACATTGCTTACGACCATGTTGTAGACGATGATCTCGCCGTCTACTTGAATGCCGCTGTATTCGAGATAGTCACCAGGAACGATTGGAGCCATGACAAGAGGGTCAGGGGCAGGGCTGCATCAGGTTGTGTCAGCACATGAGAGTCATAGGGCGAAAAATCGTGGATGAACTTACAAGTTGCCCTGCTTGCTACCGCCAGTGAGAGTCGGTCGGTTACTCTGAGGGCACAGAGGGTCATCCGCCTTCCTGGGCACACACATGGGGAAGCCAGAGAAGGCGGTGATGCTGGGGTTGGCATCATCGGCCGTGAAGAAGGGCTGCGCAGTGTAGCCAGCCGAGTAGACGGCGTTGGGATCATTGATGCGAATGGTCGGTCCGCCCTTGATCTTGATGCGGCCATCAAAGCTGACAGTGTCAACGAAGCCGGTGGCGCCGGCGAGGAGATACTGCGCGATGGAGATCTGGGCAGCAATGGGCGTGCCACCGACAATATTGCCGGTCACCTCAACCTCATACTCATCAAATGCAGCACTGCCGCCGGCAAAGTCCTTGAAGCCAACCCACGCGGCTGGGAACTGAATCTGTAGGTTCTTGGGCACTGTGACACTGTGGCCGCTGACACGGATGGTGCCGCCTGAGTTGAAGTCTGTGGATGAGGCCGTCGCACTGGTGGCTTTTCGTCAACACGACTAAACGCAGGAGGATTGTGCAGGTCTGTGTGACTTGCACTAGGAAGATAGAAGGCTTACCCTTCAAAGGCGCCGTTGTAGGTAAAGGGAACGTCCTGGGCGATGACCCCAAGGACTGAAAAGGTTACGCCTGCAACGGCCAGCAGGATAGATTGAGCTGAAGGCATGGTGGGTCTGGTTGGTGCCGACACCAGTGTGTATATTCTGATAAGTTACTTGATTCCGAGGTGTAAATGAGATGATTAAGAAGCAAGTGATGATGGTCTGAAGGAAAACTTCTTCTCGAAACCAAACCTGGGGGATTCTTGGCTGGTATTTGAAGATATCTTTGGGCATCCAAAAACGGCGGTAAGTCCAACACGACACCAGGATATCCATCCCCGTGAGCTTCATGTCGGGCGCCGATAGTTTCAAGGGGCCCATGTCAGGAGTGACATGCACAGGGACATGATAGAGGTATAGAAAGCGCCCCCGGAATCTAGACCAGGATGGCCCTCGGGCGTCGCCCGAGTATCTGGATGCCTTAGTCCAGTCCAGAACCAGCGGTCGGCTGAACTTCACGTGGGTAGACATACGGATCGAGAATAGCGACCTGGAGGGATTGTCGCTGGAGAGGCCGTGGGCTTGCATGTTCCACGAGGTAAATCCAGTCCGCATGGGTGCTGGTGCTGCTGGTAAACGGGATCCAGGTCGACCTCAAACTGAGCGGAAGCTCCCCGCGGAGTGACCGGCTAGAACGTGGGATAAAGCTTAAGTTCAAGTCAATGTAAATCACCTAGCCCTGATAGTAAGATGTACATGGTATTACGGACCAGAACAGGCCTTGCCCCTTATGGCGGCTCAGCAAAGCCGGTCGTCGGTTCTGGCCTGCCTGGTGGACAGGACCTTTTGCCGAGTGCTCCAATGCGGTTAGACTAGGTGGCTACGGGGTATTTGGGTCGGTAGTGGTGTGCTCGATTCGCGACTGTGGCTCTAGTCAGGCGTCGGCAATTTTGTCTTTGTCACCGCTGGCGATCACGTACCGAAGATATGGTTGCATTCCCAGCGTGCGAGCTGCCACGGACAATTGTGGGATGCAGCTTATCGGAGGAAAACGTGTTAGTGGATATCTCAGCTCACAACACCACACGCACGATCCTTTTCATTTTGCCTCCATGCTATATCGAGTCACTGTAGGCGAGCTGAGGCCTCTCGTATCCTCCCCTGCTGTGAGGCTTTCAGGCGCTCGCTAGCGGCCGGTCGTTGTCAATCCGACGTGTCGGGCGAGGAAGAGAAAAGAAGTGCGGGCGGTGGGATCGGCGTCCTCCGAATAAGCAAGTCAGTGACCAAGCGATGGCCAGGCGCTCGCCTTCTGACCCCTTCCATTCGTTCACATTGCTTCACGGCCGCTTCTGACGCCTCCCCGACGCCAACAGCCCTTCGAGAAGTGCGGCATCGATGGCATGATGACTTGGCGATACGTCTGCATGCTGCATCGATTTATTGGCGTTGGCCTTGCAGTGACAGCCCCAGCAGGCGACTCGCGCAAGCGCCAGCGCCAAACACTACATTGCCTGACACTCCATCACCAGGATCATCATGGCACTAGTTCTCCGCCTCCCCATATGCCGTTGGTCCTCTGTTGCACTGCTTACTGCCAGCCTGCCAGCCCCCAGAGCTGGAGGGCTCCAGCGGCAGTAAGAAGGATCACGATGCCAATGATTGGGTAGTATTCCGAGACTAGCGAGCGGGAGAGGAACAGGGGTGGTCCAGGGGCAGGGGTAGGTAGGCCTGGACAACATGGCTGACCCCAGGTTGCTGGGTACCGCGAAGCCGAATGAAGCGCTCATCAGCGAGCCTATCTTCTTGGGAGCTTCTTCCCGTGACCCGACAAGTCAAGGCTGGGCCAGTCAGCCCTTTGCTGACTACAGAGGGTGAACCAATGGTGACTCTGGTGTAGTCCCTATTCCGGCGTTGCCTCCCAAGCTTCGCACTATCGAAAGGTTGCATGGCGCGGCTGTTGGGCTGAACAACGCGCCACATGGACCCTTTCTTTGTGTTGCTGGCCGCATCTGGACATTGTCTCTAGAGCTAAGCATAGAAGAACAAAGTCAAGCTCCCGAAAATAGGGCAAGACGTGAAGCCGTGAGTAATCTCGCCTAGATGGCGATTCCAGCTCCCCGGATCTTGCCCCAATTGATGCCCCAGATTCTTGGCCTCTTGGCCTCTTGGCCACACGTGTCGAAACTAGATCGCCGTGATAGGGCTCGAACAAAGAGATTCTCCTCCCCGCTATCTGGTCGTTGGGGCCTAGAACCGTTGGCTTGTCTTACGGTTGAAGCCGCCGAGGGTCCGGCAACATGGGATTCAGGCACACCAAGGGCAAAATATGAGCTTTGGCCTTCAAAACGACCATAGGTAGAGCATCAGGCCATGGTGGCTCTTTATTCCATGGCTCTCAGCGCAACACCCCTACTGTCAGCCTCTCACTCTCACACCTCGCCGCCGCCTAACGCCCCATGGCCCCCATTAACCCCCATACCTGGTCCTCTAGTCGAATGGATGCAAGCCCTATCTGGTCTAGCGTCAGCCTCCATCATCTGCTGGACCGCCATCTCGCCTACCTGGCCCGGCCACGGGGCCGGTATGTCGGACGCCGTCAAATCTGCACGTCGTTGGGTTGCAGGCCTGTCTTGTCTCAGACATGACAGGAGCCTTGTAAGATGGTGAGCTGGTCTGGACTGTCCCCACGCTCCAAAGGGCGTTCACCGCTCGCGTGAGCTTATTATGAACGGTCTATTGAGCGAGCTGAGAAAACAAAAGCTTGAGTCACCTATCCGAGGATGTGTCTGGGCCATGTTGGAGTCGGTGATGGGTCGATTCATCGGATAGGGGGCGGCAGGCCGAGATGCGGACTCCCCGTGGCCAAATTTCCTCGTCGTGCTCAAGATGGACTGGGTCAATGAGATGTTCAAATACCCCCTTAAGGATCCCGTGTCTTGACATCGGTATTTGCTCAAACAGCCTCCTGACCAAAGCCCCCCAAGCCCTCAACTGCCACGCCGAATCCCCTCATCTCTTCAAGCCCATTGAGTCTGGCCTGACCCTTCATCTCGGAATACTCTCTGAGCCCTGAGGCTTGCAGCCGCCGCACTGATCGCTCTCTCTCCCGTCTACCTCTTTTCTTCCTAATGGTTCAGCTTTCGCTGCGCCAGACCTTTGTGGTCTTTCTCTCTCTGGCCTCTGAGTCGGTAGCCAAGGACTGGCTCAGTCCTGAATACAAGTGGCTCTATCAATTCCCCCTTCCCATTCCTCCTGTGAAGCAGGAGAAATGGTACGTCCCTCTGCAAGCCGTATTCTTTGTACTCGTTCACGGCACTCATAATGTCACAGGCCAAGTCAAACCATCGTCAACCCTGTCACCAAGCAAAAGGTTAAGTATTATGAGGTTGAGATCAAGGAATTCACCTCTCAGGTGTATCCCAATAAGAAGCCTACCAAGCTTGTCGGGTACGATGGTATATCGCCAGGGCCAACATTTTTAGAGGAGCGCGATGGCGAGTCGGTCGTCCGCTTCATCAACCACGCCAAGATGGCCAACTCTGTTCATCTTCACGGGTCTTACTCTGTGCGTCAATGCTGACCGGTACTCGTGCTGGTGGACTACCATACTGACTCTGTCCAGCGCACTCCCTTTGATGGTTGGGCTGAAGATACCACGGAACCTGGCGAGTACAAGGACTACTACTATCCCAACTGCCAGAACGGCCGCATGATGTGGTATCATGACCATGCCATTGACCACACGGCTGAGAATGCGTACTTTGGCCAGGCAGGTGCCTACCTGGTTCACGACGCTGCAGAAGATGCCCTCGGCTTGCCCAGCGGCTACGGAAAGTACGACATCCCCATGATTTTGTCGGCCAAGGTACGTCTGATCTTCCAATTCAGCCACACTATCCCAGTCACTGACATGGCATAGCAATACAACTCGGATGGCAGCCTATTTTCGCCGGCCGGTGTGGACGACAGTCTCTATGGCGACGTCATTCACGTCAATGGTCAGCCGTGGCCGTACTTCAAGGTCGAACCGCGCAAGTACCGCCTCCGCTTCCTCAACGCTGCCATCTCGCGCACGTTCTTCCTCTACTTCGAGTCCAGCAAGAAGCCAGGCACGAAGCTCGACTTCAAGGTCATCGCCTCAGACACGGGCCTGCTGACGAGCCCCCAAAACGCCAAGGACCTCTACATCTCCATGGCCGAGCGATACGAGGTTGTCTTTGATTTTTCCAACTTCAAGGGCCAGAACGTGACGCTCCGCAACACCAAGGACTTTGCCCCCGACAAGGACTTCCTGCACACCGACAAGGTGATGCGCTTCGTCGTCGCTGGCAACGGCCCCGCCGACTCGTCCAGCGTTCCCACGGCGCTGCGCAAGGTCGACTTCCCCCCGCACAAACAGGGCGTCGACCACCACTTCCTCTTCCATCGGCAGGGTAGCGACTGGCGCATCAATGGCGTTACCTTTGCCGATGTCAAGAACCGCGTGCTCGCCAGGCCCAAGCGTGGCCTCGTCGAGGTCTGGGAGCTCGAGAACTCGTCTGGTGGCTGGAGTCATCCGATTCATATTCACCTCGTTGACTTCCGAGTCATCAAGCGCACCGGCGGCAAGCGTCAAAAGGTGTACAACTACGAGGCCGAAGGTCTCAAGGATGTTGTTTGGCTCGGCCCCGGTGAAACAGTGACAGTGGAGGCCCACTACGCCCCCTGGCCCGGCGTCTACATGTTTCACTGCCACAACCTGATCCACGAGGACCATGAGATGATGGCCGCCTTCAACGTCAGCGTGCTCGAGGACCTCGGCTACCCTGAGACGGCCTTTGCCGACCCCATGGAGGCCGACTACCGCGCCCGCAAGGAGATCTCGAGCGGCTCGACGTACCTCTCAGTCAAGGACCGCGTTGAGCAGCTGGCCAAGCTCGAGCCCTACAACCACCACGGCGACGTCGATGGCTGGCTCTCGGCATACTGGGCCACCAAGGGCAACGCCGTCGCCACGACTACAGTCAAGACGTCGACCGCGGCAAAGGCCACCACCACAAAGAAGGCCAGGGACATGCGCGTGCATGCGCGTGAGCTGCCCAAGCGCACTGACGTCCCTGAAGCGTGAGCACGCAACCTGTTCTGATCGAACGACGGACATAGTAGAGACGAAAATAACTAACCCATAATATAATGTTATTATTTCGAGGCATACTGGGGGTGTATTTGTATCCGGCTTCACGAAATGCCATATCACGCCATCGGCCCTCGTGCCAACCACGATAGGTTCCTCCAACACTACAGGGGGTGGAGTTTTGGCGTTTGGCTTTGTAGTCCTTCATCTTTAGAATAGTAATCACACACTCTCTTAGCTCACAAGCAATGCTGCAATCGTCTATAGCTTATCATGGGCTGATGCTATTCGATCTCATGCATCGCGTTTCGTCGGGTCATCGTAGGATGATTTCTTTGCCTACGCAGACATTCACGAAACAGGCAAAGTCATGAAGGCGAAAGGAAGAAAATCATTACCCCGAAGCGGGTCAACGTCTAAATACACTGCACCGCGCAGTTGGCCGCAAGCCAAAGTATGCAACCCGCCCAATCCAAACGCCAAAAAAGGTATCTCAAACAACGAGCCAGCTTTTCACAGTCTTCCAGGGTCGTGTGTATGGGCGCTGTCCCTCAACTCTCTTCCTCGTACACTTGCTTTCCCTTGCGTCTTCAGTCGTATTTGTCTACAGGTGCTTACAGCTGGTTGGGGTTCTCCTTCTTAGCCAGCACGGTGCCGGTGCTCAGCTCTTGGAGAGCACTACCGGCGCGAACTGAGCTGGGCGCGAACTTCTCCTCGGAAGCAACCTTGTTGTGAAGGCCCTTGACCACCTCCTCGCGAGTGATGCTGAGCTTATCACTGGACAGACCCATGGACTTGAGGAAGTGCACCGACTCGGTCCACTCGTGCTTCTTGCGAGCGTCGGACCACTTGAGCTCTTCGGCCATGACGTCAATGACCTTGGGAAGAGAGCTGAGGGCGGCATTGACATCGAGAAAGGCGAGGCGAGTGCGGCGGGCGATGATGTCGGAGGCGGTCTGCGCAGCCTCCTGGCGGATGCCGTAGCGAATCTCGCCATCAATGAAGGGGTACGCAGCGGCCAGGCGGTTGGCGGGGCGGGCGGATCCGGAGGAACCAAACTCGGCAGCGGCAACGTCCCAAGCGCGATCACCGTAGTTGGTGGCGAGGTGGTGAGCGACGTCAGCATCGAAGCCGTACGATTCAGACAGTTGGGCAGGAAGTTTGTTGGAGAAGCCATGAGCACCAGCAAGGCGGATCTGGCGGGTTGTGCAGGCGGTAGAGGTGGACCACTTGAATTGACCGTCACCGGCTCCGCTAATATCGGGCATGGAGATGGTCTGGGGGCTGAGCTTGAAAGTGTCGATGGCTTCGTCGACGGCGTCCTCGGCCATCTGGCGGTAGGTGGTCCACTTGCCACCAGCGCAGGTGAGGAGACCAGAATCGGAGACGGTGACGAGGTGGCTGCGGACGAGCGATTCAGTGTTCTTGGCGTTGGGGTCCTTGACGAGAGGGCGGATGCCTGTGATGATCAATTAGCTCATGGTCTGTTGCGGGCCGCTTCCTCATCTCAAAACCCCAATTTTCCAACTGAGATTTCCGGTTTTCGTCGAAACGGGCAAGAAGTGGGGGCATGTCACGGTGTGTGCACTTACCAGACCAGGTAGCGAGAATGTCGGAGCGAGTAAGGTTGGTTCCGGGCGTCAGAAGCTTGCTGACCTCCTTCAGGATGAAATCGACCTCATCCTGCTGGGCGACCGGCTCGCGCTCAACGGCGCAGGGGTTGTCAGTGGTACCGGCGACAGTGAGGCCCTGCCAGGGGAGGACAAAGACAACGCGACCGTCCGAAGTGGCAGCATCGAGAATTCCCATACCCTTCGGGCTGAGGTGAGCGGGCAGCATGATGTGGGCACCAGAACTGGGCGCAACGAGAGCCTTGCGGGAAGGGTCGTCCATGCGCTCAATGGCGTCGGTGAAGGGTCCGGTAGCGTTAATGACACCCTTGGCACGAACCGTGAACTCACGAGCGCCCTCAGCGTCGCCATTGACAGAAGAGATGACATCGCGAATGCGAGCGCCGCGAATCTTGCCCTCGGCGTCCTTTTCGAGCTGGGTGACTTCGGCGTGGTTCACCATGGTGACACCGTACATGGCAGCGGTCATGGCGATAGAGACGTTCATGCGGGAATCGTTGTGCTGGCCGTCGTAGTAGACGAGAGCGCCCTTGAGCGTATCCTTCTTCAGCAGAGGGAAGGCCTCGAGCGCCTTGCTCTTGGAAAGGTAGTAGGAGCTCTCAAGGCCCTGGGAACCGGCGAGAAGATCGTAGGCCTTGGTACCGGCCCAGAAGTAAGGCGCCTGCCACCACCTCTGCAGAGGCAGCAGGATGGGCAGGGAGACAGACAGGTGAGGCGCAATCTCGAGGAAGGTCTTGCGCTCACGCAGGGCCTCCATGACGAGCTGCAGCTGGGGGTAATCGAGGTTCCAAAAGGCCTTCTCGAGATAGCGCACGCCGCCGTGCACGAGCTTGGTGCTCTTGCTGCTGGTGCCGCTGCTGAAGTCATCACGCTCAACGAGAGCGACCTTGAGACCACGAGTCGCGGCATCAAGAGCGATGCCGGTACCGGTCGCTCCACCACCAATAATGAGCAGGTCATACTCTTCGGAATCGGAGCTGTGACGGCGTAGGTCGGCGAGCTGGTCGGCGCGGCTCTTGAGCGAAGGGAATTGGGGCGGAATAATGACACCCTTGGCGTCCCTCTTGAGCTCTACGGCGGGCGTGTCGAAGTTGGTCTTGTGAGAGAAGCTTGAGAAGGCAATGGCACCACCAGTCGTGGCCACAGCGGCGACGGCCGCGACGCCAAGCGGCTTCCTCAGCCCCGCGAAGCGCGACATGATGTCAGTTGTGAGGCGCGCAAAGAGAGCAGGCCAGAAAGCGAGATCGGCCTGGCGGGGGGTAGCTGTCGTTCTGGACGGCGACAGCGAGGGTGAGCTGTGAGATCCGTTCTGAGCTGGAACAAGTTGTAGAGGAGCGGGGGGAGCAGGGAGGGAGGAGGCAGGAAAGAGGAGTGTCGTGTAGATGTAGGAACGGAGAACCGGCAGACACCAGTAGTCAAGTCTTCAAAAAAGGGTGATGCCGCGGCCGAGATGAACGTCCATTCGTGGGATTCTGGTGACTGGGGTGGTAAGACGCGCCCGGAGATGGTGGATGGGGGGAAAGGTGATGAAATGGAACGCGGCGAGAGCAAAAATTCCTCCGTCCAGAAGAAAGCTCAGTCAGTCACTCAGCAGCAGCTCGTTCCCCCACGTGTGTACGTGGGAGCTCTGGCCGATGCTCGCTGTCTGATGAGGCGACCGGGTCGAAGCCAGACGCCAGGCGACGGAGACCCCATGCCCGATGGGGGGCGCCCGGCCAGCCAAAAGTGTCAGATCAGACCAGAGGCAACCCTTCTTCTGACATCATATCGTGGGTCACGGAGCGCGGGGTGGATGGAGGGCTCGGGGCGTCCCAGTCGAGAGCTAGAGAGCTACATCGGAATAGGCGTGAAGCTCCATCTCCAAGCTGGCGTTTCTGGAGTTCAGCCTGCAAAATCCCCACGTCACATTGGAGAGGCTCAAGTACCGGAATTGGGGGAAGCTGCACCTCGGTCATACCTTCCCGATATTCTCGGGTTCTAGTCGGTATAGAGTTCCCGAGACGATGTCTCGGTATGATTCGGGTTTCTGTGCCCCTAGGTCTTGGCAGGTACGTATCGTTTGCACCAGCCACTCTCGCGGAATCTGGATGCTTGCCACTAGCCCCTTTTCTATTACGTCCGAGCGCGCACCGTCCGAACGTGCCGGGCGTCCCTCCGTTTGCAATCACAGGGGTACGGAGTCACCTGACTCTGGCAAGCAAAACAGCCACGCACAACGTACCACGCACCACACCACAAACACCAGCAGCTGACACGCCAGCTCCAGCCAGCATGGAAAGCAAAAAGTTTGCTTGTGGATACTCTCTCGTGGATATGCCGAACCAAGAGGGGAGCACGCAACACTCCTGTCGCCAGCTCCACCTCGACGCCCACAACAGGTTCCGCTTTAGACACTGCTTCTCGTGCCATCAACACCGAGACGGGTCTTTGCCAAGTGTCCACCTTATCGCTCACAGAACTCTTCGCCATCTGTGACTCTGCTTCATCCCCTGGTATGATGGAGTAACACGCCGCGTTGATGCCGCTGGATGAGGGTCCCCTTCTCACTCTGTGATATGGGCATTGCCTCGGAAAACAAATATGAATGCCCCAACCCGCCACTATTTCTCTGGTTCCGAGCTCTCCAGGCCTCTTCGGAGGTCTCGAAAAGACGAAAGCGCGCGTTGGGGTTCTTGGCAAGTCCGTGACTGCACACGCGCAAACACACATTCGGTCGAATGACCTGTCCGACACGGGCGTTGTCCGGAACTCTGCCCGGAGTGGCGGTCCAGGGTTCAAAGTTTGGGCCGAAACTCTCTCGTCAGGAGCCAAGAATGTCATGCTTGCTTGCGTGCATATTCGGGACGCCTCATCACGCGAGACAAACTCGCGTTACCTCGAAAGAGCTGGGACGACCTATCACCAGGGAGCAGCTTTCCGCCCTGTCCTGTCTGTTCCGAGGGCTTGAGGCAAGGGTGGCTATTCTATCTAGCTGACTTGGGGGACCGGCCACCGTTCAGGGAACCACAGTCAGGCGTTGATTGAGGGGTTTTGGGTGTCCTGGCCCCCTGGCTGGCCGTACCGTCGCCGCTGGATGGCGGTCATGACAGGGTCTGGCTGCCTGAAGCCAGGATCCCAAAGCCTCTCCGGGCTCCAGTGGCGTGCGTTGGCGCATTTTGACTGGTGGAAACCGCTCAAGGCATTAACCCGCCTCACTTTTCCGCCCTCACCCTGCTGCCCAATGTCGAGGCGCTATGCCAGCGAGGCGGAACAATTAAGGTTGTCAGGGTAATTGGATATCGGTTGCTTCATTGTTCAAAGAGACTCGCTACTTAAGATTGAGAGATAGCCCACCCTCCTTGTACATAATCATCCTCAAGCGACGCTCCAGCTGAGGCGGAAACGCACTGTTGACGCTGAAGACGGGGGAAAAAAAAGAAGTAACAACAAGTGCAGGCTGCGCCATCAAACTCCTTGCAGCCTCTTCACTCCCTTTTGGGAGTTACAACGGTAACACCTAGTGCTGGTTTTTTTTTGTCGTTTTTTGCTTTTACTGTTTTTGGCTTTGACGCCCGAACATGAAGTTTGGCAAGGCCACTTCCGATCGGATGCTTTCCCTCAAGCCTCCGCAAAATCTTGGGGCCATGCAAGCACAACGGCTTAGACCTGGGACTCGAACGACTTGTACGTGTTGGACCACACGCTGCGCTTGGGCTTGAAGAAGCGCTGAAGGCCCATGTAAGGGGTGTTGATGGGGCTCTCGCCGGTGTAGATGAAGACATCGTACAAGAAGCCACCAAAGGCACAGCCAAAGAAGGGCGCGACCATGGGGATCTAAACACAGTCAGCTTCGTGTTCAACTTTACTTGCGACGACACCGACGACAACGACAAAAGACGTACCCAGAAGTAGTAGTTGCCAGCGGACCAGACCTCGTGGCCGTAGCCGAGGATGTACGACACGAGACGAGGGCCAAAGTCACGGGCGAGGTTAATGGCGTAACCGGTCTGCCAGCCAAAGCACGCGCCAATGCCGAAGATGACGAAGAACATAGCCAGAGGAAAGAGGGGTCCGGCCGCCATGCTGTCCTTGTCGATCAGGGCGTACACGATGAACTGGAGAATCGCGCTCGACAAGAACTCGGACCACCACTGGGCCGTGGTGTCCACGAAATCAACGGGGTATGTGCAGAAGATGCCGGCGGTGGAGGTCTCGAGACCGACGGTGCGGATGCCGCTGCCGCCCTCGAACTGATCAATGGCGAAGCGGTAGTTGCCGTACACAATGAAGGCACCGGCCATGGCACCGAGAATCTGGGCGAGGGCGTAGACGGGGAACTTGCGCCAGGGGTGACCACGGTAAATGCAGTTGGAGAGAGTGACAGCAGGGTTGAGGTGGCCGCCAGTCTTGCCAGCAACGTAGATGCCGAGCATGACACCCAATCTACACAAGAAGGTCAGTCAGTACGGTTTCTCATGCCGTCACAGGCCTCCCCTTGCTGCTCAGTGGCAGGCAGCGACGGACGCCCGAAGGAAGCGAGACTCACCCCCATCCCCAAGAGATACTCTGGTAGTCGCCCTTGGTGCCGTTGGAGAGGACAACCTGGGCCACGACACCATCACCGAATAGGATCAGGACCATGGTGCCGAAAAACTCGGAGAAGAACTCCTGGCCATACTCGCGGACCTTGCTCCACCACAGCTCATTCCTATGCTCCTCGTGGGTGACGGAGGGCTCGGAGCTGGCTCCGGCGTGCTCGGTGTGGGCGTCGGCACCCATTTCGGGTTTCCGGTGATAAGTTGACTTGTCGATCGACGACTCGGACTGGGAATCTTGTGACACGACCAGGGACATTAGTTCGGATGTCTCGCGGCGAGATGACGAAGAGAGTCGACACAAGCAAACGACAGAATGTCGACGCGGGGTATGGGGAAAGAGAAGGAGGGGAGGTTGAGATGAGATGAAGGAGATGGATGGGTGGCAAGGGGGTCTCTCCAATCTCTCAACTCCATGGGACGGGGCACTCTTATGTCCTGTCACTCGAGGATCTCCCCCCGCGGGCGGGACGTCTGCCCAATCCGTCGGGTTGGATGTCACGGACGGGG